CTTTCAGGATCGCGCCTCTCGAAAGCGTGCCTGTGTTCAATGGTTGTCGTTCTTTGATTCGAGCCGCTGAGAAAGGAAAGCGGCAAACCTTCTCTCTCTCTCTCTCTCTCTCTCTCTCTTTCCTCTCTTTCTCGCTCTATGTTGCACGACCTATTGTTTCTGCGGGATAGATGGGAACCGCGGATGATGGTAGTTGTCTCGCGATTATTTTCTCGCTGTTCTTGCTATTCGAAGATGCGTTTGCATGATAGAGAGAAACCACCTGACACGGAGCTGAGTAGCTAGTTTGATGACTCACTGATCTTCGTGTGGGAGTCTGTACGAAACGTGATGAAATCATTGATTGTTAATTTGCTATCGTCTCAACAAAAGGCCATTTCAATTGTTCGAATCGTGCGAATTTCTTCTTATGAAAAAAAAAAAAGATTTCTCGAAAAATGTCTTCGAAGAGTCAGAATCTTTGTTGGAGATTCGGACATGGAATTTTCTTCGTTGATTTCAAGTTGTAACCATTCCAAGTAAAACATCAACCATGAGAATCATTTGCATTGGAAATAAAGTTATAAAGTATCGTGCTACTTTCGATGAATTTCGTACAGCCACATGTAATATGAATTTTGCACGCAGACGTTAATTAACATAAATATTCGATCCAGTCTTTTAACATAAATATTCGATTCTCAGATTCACCGAGAAGAATTCAATAATGAGGCATAATTCTGTTCTCGATGCCATAGCTATGATTTTCTCACCATGATGCATGATTGTTCTTGATATTCTACTGGCAAATTTCTATGTTACGACACTACTTACAAACGTATTGCAAAATCGATCGTGATCGGTTGTAATCACGATCGAAGGTAATCAAAGAGAATTCTCGATGATGAAGTGTTTTAGATACATCGTTCAGGCTTTCGTCTGAATTCCTGACAAGGTGACGACCAAGAAGCAGTATAAGACAGCATAAAGCAGTCTCACATGCGACACAATCCGTTCGCACACCAGTGTCGAACGGGACATGCATGATGAAAACACGTGCAGCTTACACACATGTGCATGGCGGTTAAACGGGAGAACCGGCAAGACTTCCGTTGCTTGGGGCGTCCGGACTAAAAGGTGTAGGAATTCGATTCGGCGAGACAAAAAGTAACACCGATGGTATACTTTCATCAGCGCAAACGAGGAAACATATTAACGCAAGAGGGGAAAGGGAAGAAAGTCGACGTCGACGAAATTTAACGTTGATTCGCGCTCGAAATCGCGTGGGTCTTTAGTTTCCTGATTGTGTCGACGAAAATCACACGGTCGTGCACTCCTCTTTTAGAAAGCTAAAATCCTCATTGTACCACGGGAATCAGCGGCACATATACGTAAATCGGTAAACAGAAAGCACCTAATTATACGGCCAGCTAATTAAACGATCCCAATGCGAGGATATATCAGTCTCCTATCTTTTTCCGCAAAGAAATTGTCTTTCCGCCTAGTCACCGCGTGATTTTCGTTCGGGTCGAGAAACAACCTGTATCGTATACGCGAGTATTCTATACGACTGTTTCGTGCATGTACAGGTGTGCATACCATCGCAACGTTAATGCACACGTATCCTGTATGTACATACAAAGGATGCAGTTAAGTGAGCATTATAATATACGCGCGTCCACTAATGCTACATCCATCCAGCACGCTGACAAATATAAATTCTGTCGTGTCCACGAGCACTGATGGGTGTCGTTGTCTATTGCGCACCAAGACTCATACGCCGAGATACGTACACGTACGGACAAACGCGATTCTATTCTCGTGCATTCCGCCATGCGGGTAGCACACAGAGCTATACGTTTCCTGTGTGCTCACGCCAGCCAACTCTTTACCCGTATGTAAACGCGTAAGCGCGTGTAGACGTGAACACATGTGCGATCTTGCGGCCGTAAACCGCGTGTTTATTGTCGCACAGACGCAACGTGACGAGTACATGAGAACTCATATTGTACCGCAGTTCAACAGAAGCGGATCGTGATCTGGCGTCGGTTTCTGTACTTCCGCTCGCGACACACGCGATGAATTACGTCAGGTTGTTCGACAGTTATTGCAAATAATATATATATCCAAATTTATCACCTTTCATCTCCCCTCTCTTGAGAAAGTATCGTATGACATTGAATGTCGTATGTATGAATTTTTGAATTACAATTTTTGCACTACCTGAGTCGTGTGTTGATCAATGATTATTTGGTCAGTCAACACTCTCTTGAACACATTTACGTCTTATAATTTCATTGGAATATTATAGCAACAAATTATAAAACTTTTGTCACTCATTATTACTAATTGAAATCAGCTGAAGAGACTCTATAATTTTTGATTCCTATGCTCCATTCTTTGTATAAAAAACTTCTCTCCATATGAGAAATAAATAAATAAAATATATTTAAATGTAAGATCAGCTATTGAGCAACAAGTTATTGAAAAGACGAAATTCAAATATTCACACACGTAGTGTTATATAAGCGATCGATCAACCGGTATTGACCAATAGGATATCACCGCGCAGGTGCCTGGTAAAACGTGGGTGCCACCATCTGGTGGGTGGTACGAAGGCTAGAAATTCATGACTTTTACTCACCTTTCGAAAATATAAAGTTTTCGTTGAGTGAGACCGCTGTCGCCCATGCTATCGCGACCAGTGAACAGCTGCGAGACACAGTGAATGAGAAGTCGATTCCTTTCCCGCGTAGGTCGACAGCGGGGCATGGTTACGGCAACACGTGCAACTCCTGCAAACAGATAGTAAACGAAATAAAAATTCATTTTGTCTCTGAAGGATAGGTAGAACAGAAACGTTATTCAATCGTAACATCGTTCGGTTGTGATTGAGGAAGATACATCGTAATTACGTGCGTGTTGTCAATTGTTGCAAATTAATTGAGAACAAGGAATACGATAGAGTAAGTATGAGTGATTAATTTCATTGCTTCTCTCGTTCTTAAAATCCATCGATCACGATGACGGTTACGCGATCGTGAACAAGGCGTCGATTATCCCAAATCTTCCAAGCTAACAAGCATCGATGCCGTCGTCTTGTTATGTTAGTTGAACACAAGAAGCCTTTTCAAGCAATCGTAACATCAAATTCCTCACGTCGATAAATAATAAAAAATTATATGCCCAACTGAGTGAATAAATTGCATTGCGAACTGTTATGTGTATTCTATGCAAGAAATGTTCCTGACAGATAATTTCTTCGTATCGATCGGAGTAGATAGAAAACACATACAATGTATTGGAATTACGCTGCATTATTATGCCGTACACGGTTCTCGTGAATGCATGATGGCGCGCAAGGCAGGATCTTGCATCTTTACTTGTCGACCAGTCCATTCTGTTCCTAGGCAGGTTCCGAAAAAAACCTGTTTCGGGTATAACTGAGTGTATGTCTGCTCTACCTAACAACCAATGGAGAGTGGGAAACGATGTGTTAATTTCCTACCTGTTTTCGACGAAAATATCTTCATTTAAATGTACAAACATTCTTGTTATTATATCTTAAGGCAGATCAAAAACGATACCGTAATAAAATTCGACTGATTTATGGAAAATGAATACGTTTAATAAAAATATTTCAACTATATAAATTTATACATACATAAATATCCATATGTATGTACTAATTTAATTTGAAATTTCAATAATACTTTCAAATACTGAAATACTGTATATATGTACAACAGAGAATGCATATATATATATATATATATATATATATATATATATACATATATATGTATTCGCTTCTAACCAATAAGAACTTTAATTGGTATATGATTTGATAGGTATATGATTTGATTAAATACATTATTCTTTTAAATGTTCACTGCAAATCTTAAACGTGCTGAATAATGCAAATACAAATCTAGGAACTATTAATTGTAATCTTTACCTGAAAATTCTTTCAACAATGCTTCTTTTTGCTGCACCTCCAGCGTAAAACTAACGCTTCCATGTTACATCTGAAATTATAGATTGATTGCGAGAAATATCGATTAGCGTATTATCGAGAATCGCAATAAGTGTATTACGTAGTTCGCCGTTTCGTGGCGCTGTCATCTTTAATTTATCTAACCAAAAAAAATATATATATATCCAATAAGAATATTTTAACTATATAAATTTATACATACGTAAATACTCATGTAGTGCCAATTTAATTCAAAATGTCAATAATACAATAATTTTCAAATACTGAGCTACTGTACATGGAAATATATATACATATATCTATTCACTTCTATATCCAACAAGAACTTTGAATGTATTATTCTAAATAAATAATGTCCATTGTTGCAAAACGTATTGAATGCAAACACAAATCTAGAAGCTTGATTGTAATCTTTACGTGATAATTTCTCGATAATAGTTCTTTTTGCTACACTCTCCATATAAACTAACAGTTCCAACTGTTCAGTTACAACTGAATATTAGATCGAGAAATATCGATTACGTTCGAGAATCACTAGTATATTACATAGTTTGTCGTTTCATGGCGCTGTAATCTTTACTTAACCTAATATTAAATATGAAATTACTTAACCTAATATTAAATATGAAAATATGTACATTATTTAATTTGAAACAAAAAAAATAAACTCTTTTTCTAACCTTTCTTACTTTTATAAAATATGTTAATAAAAACTATATTCTTTACAAAAGTTTCAATGTATGTTGATATATGTTTAATTGTAATCTTTTATAAAAGATATTCATCTTCATTATATTAAAAAGAATATACCTCATAGTAAAAATATACTATTTTCTATTTCTATCCATTTCGGCGAGTGTTTCCATACTAATACGATTTTGGATATTAAAAAATGAATTGCTTGAAATGTAGGAACCTTACTTTTCGTAAACGGTTTTTACCGACGGTATAGTAATCGTGGCGCCACATTGTGGACAAAGACAGCAATACAGGCTACATCTGGATAACTCGTAGCAGGGGAAAATGTCTCGCAGGTATCTGGTTTGACGAACCACGATGCGTGCGAGGTGCATGTGTGTGCGTATCGTGTGAATTTTCGCAGGTGGTGATTTTTCGTGCAGAACGAATATCCGAGATTTGCCGGTGGACGGACGCTAGTCGAAACAAGGAGACGCGAGTTCGAGGCGCCGTGATCGTGGGGCGTATCCCAAAATCGTGGGGGAAAAACGGCCCTGCTTTCGTCCAGTAAACTTCGTCGCGATACGTGCGTCGTGTTTTATCGTGCCCCGTGAGAAAATCGTGATCCTGCAAGAAAAAGCAAGTGAGAACAAGTCGAAGAGGTTGGATATCAACGAGTCGATGGATATCGCTTTGACATGACGAACACCGAGCTGATTCAGTTTTCCGAACGACGTCGAATCGCTTTGTAATGAAATTTTAGAAATTTGATTGTCAAACAAATAACATTCGCACAACTGTTAACAAACATTTTTTGTTATCGTCGGACGCCTTACTTTGAATCACTGCCAATGTGTAACCCGGCTGACGACTCTTACGTACAAAAGTTAGGTTATCTGCAACTTGGGGATGAACCCACTGACGCCTGTGGTGCTTCGGGTACCGGTAGGGTCACGGGATCACGACCTGAGGCCCAGGTGCCCGTGTCAAGGAATACTGTAAGCAGAACAGATATCAGAGGGCCTGGTAGACCAGTTGGTGCTATTGAAAGTTTCATTGAAAGCAATGCTGACACTTGTAGACAGTCAGCAGCTGATTATAAGTTGTATGAACGTGAAAACATAATAGCTGCATCAAGATTCCCGACACCAAAACCTGTGGAACAGATTAGTGCTCAACAGCAACAAAATCAAAATCGTATGAGTCATCAACAAGCACCAGTATATGAAAACATTGATTATTATCCACAACAAAGTCAACCTCATCCTCCATATTATCATCCAGTGGAATCTAGAAAGAGTCCTAAGAGTAGCCCTAGGGGATCTTTAGCAAGCGAATCTTATGAACCTACTTTTAGAAAAGCACAACCACAAGTACCTACTGGAAATCGATATCAGTCTGCATCACCAGCAAAAGAATTACCTCCCTATGAGGCACCTCCTGTATATGAAAATATTCAAGAAGTACATTTCCCAGAAAATACACAAAATAAACCAGGTCCTCAGGTTCCACCAAATTATTACCATCCAGCAACAATTAATGGTGGTGATTATGTTGTGATGACTGGCAAAGTAGGTCAAGCACAAAGTCAAAGAGGTATGACACAAAGTTTATCATATACACAACAAAGGGGAAGTAATATACGTGGCCAAAGCTATGATGGCTCTAGTTTACAACGCGTAGATTCTTCTACATCAAGGTACTTACAAGGATCTTCCTCATCTTTAGATCATCACGCTGGTAGAAGTGCTTATGTTCCACCGTCTGAGCTACAAACACCAACAAGAAACTTTAATTACAGTTCTGAGCAACAGCAACAACATTCTCCTAGATCTGGACTTCCTTATCACAGTGAGTCTCCACCAATACGCTTACCACCAGAGCCACATCATTATCGTGGATCTCTGGACAGTTCAGTGAGTGGGCAGCATGGATTTAGAGCATCGAATCATATAGAAAATATACAACAGTGTCAATACCGTCAAGATAGTCCCCAAAATTATAAACCTTACATAGAATCACCCGCAAGAAGTACAAATGCAAATATTACTGGAGAAACTCAAGCTAGAAACTCACCTGTCTATGGTGTGAGGCAAGGAGATCAATCTGCATGCCGTAATTCTCCCTGTTACTCTCCAAGTAGAGTATTACCACCAAATGAAAGAAATTATCATCATCAAGAACCTAGATCAGAATTTCCTGCCAGAAATTCTCCAATATATTCCTCAAATAGATCATCAGAACATTTAAGATTAAGTAATTTACAGAATGACAGAAATTTCATTCAAGATGCACCTGATCCTTCTGATACATCAAAACCATCACCTATATATTCATCTAGCCGTAGTGATTCTTCTAGAATCATAGCCAATAACAATAATGTAAGAGGTTCTCCGAAAGTAAGCCCAACCCATAATCAAGTATCGTCCGACACAATTGCACAAAATATAATTAATTCGCCCAGACATGTTTCACCATCTTCCGCAAATAATACTATTGGAAGTCCTTTACGTGGTCAGATACAAACACCAGTGGTGACCACTGGTACACCAATTGCGACAGAATCTGATCCAAACGTTCATGGACCCAGAATTACCAGCCTTCCTCCAGGAGTGACTAGTGGTGTAGCTGGTCCAGTCTTTTTAAATGCCGGTGTACCTGTATTACAAAGGCCATCCGAACCTGAACCTGAGGAAAGAAAGTCAGTTAGTCCACCGATAAAACCGACATCCGGCAAGGGTCTACTACCTTACAATGTTATACCACCTAGACCTTCCGTAAGAATTAGCTATTTTTCCAGCTATATTTTAAGAAATTTTTCCTCTTGTAAAACCTGTTCACAATGTAACACTGTAATCATACGTTAATTGGGTTACGGGAACAGATCGTTGCTTTCGATTTATTTTGGCCGAATGCCAGCACGCTGATCCATTTGCATGCTGATTTCATATGAAAGATGTGATTATGAAAACTTTAATGATTCGTCATTAAAGCTGGCAGTGAAAAATAATAAATTATAAATTTTTTAATTATGCTTCCTGTAATATACATAATTCTTATTCGAGAAATGCTGATGCTGCAGCTTTTCATATTCATATTCATTTAAGCGATGATGTCACAAATGTCAGCCGCTATCGCCGATATTTTACATAATGACTGACCTATGTAACATATGAAAATACTACTTTGAACAGTCTGATAAATATTTCTTCCCATTTACTATAAAGAGCATCGAAATAACATTAACTTTAACAACTTTTGGTATCGCGTAGAAACAAATACTTATTGCTTATAATATTTTACCATCTGTGACGAATTCTTTCTTCGAACTGGTGACTCGTGCTGAATCACACGTTGTAAGTTGTCAGTTTCTGACAAGCGTTCTGTAGTTACGCGCAATATTTTATTCAAAGATCGTATACGCATCTTCTTAAAGCATGGAATGTATCTTCTGTATGCCGAACTTTTCTCCTTTTCGTCAAAATTATTATTATATTGTTGAAATCCCATCCCAATCCATGGCATTATTTGTCAGTACTGATTGCAACGTGCGATGTGATTTATTTCGTACAGGGGCCAACCGAAGCGGAGAGAAAGATAGAAGAACTGACAAGACAACTCGAAGAAGAGATGGAGAAGCAAGAAGAGGAAGGGGAATACTTCGGTAAGAAACGATCGCATAACACTTGTAAAACAATTATCAAGCATTCACGAAGAAACATATTTCTGTTCAAACATGTTTCTGTATCTTTGTAAATTTGTCTGTGGAATAACTTTGTATGATGTTTAGATAGTTTCACCAATTACCATGCCATGATTTGTTTTTCCAATAACATTTGTGTAATTTCTGAAATAGATTAAGATGCGATAGTTTCACATAATTCCGTCATTAGGGATTCATCAATCATCGACACGTTCCTATAATTTGCATCGATTTCGAGTAAGAATAAAAAGTAGCAGGGTACCGTGCCAATTCCCACGGCACAAGTTCTCGCTTGGTAGACCGGTTTCGGAAAATGGAGTCAAGTTTCAGTGTGTCGCGAAACTTTTTAACCCGACGTTTCGTTGACATTCACTCTCTGCCCATTCGTTTCCACCTACGTGAAGCGCTACAAGTGTGCGAGTTACATGCGTTTGTTAGGTGAGCGCATATATGCGCTATCTCTCCTTTGTACTATACATATGTATCTCAACATCGTAAGATGATGTTCATATTGGGCACTTTCTTCGATGTCTATTGTGTTTTATAATCAAGTACTTGCTATTTCAGTGAAAATCACTTCACAGACACAAGGATAAAGGCTACGAAGAATAGCCGTCCAAAAATATCGATGAAGTACAATCGAACAAAAGATCCGTAGTATCATTTTATCCGAGCTCAAAGTTCGAAATTTGTAAGATATTTAAATAAAAAATTTAACGTCATTCTAATGGTCTTGTAAATGACCTATCGGTGTGGTTGCACAACTGTGAAATACTTATCAATTCAGATAAATATGCATTCGATGCAAATTGCTTCCAACCGTATCTATATTTGGTTGCGCATTTTTTTTAAAACCAGTATTTTTCGAATAGATAGTGGTGTAGATTTTATTTGAACATAGTTTAAACGTAGGCAACGAGGAATGGAAAGAATCACACGAGCGGGTAGGAACTTCAGTCGAGCGAGCCAATGTTAAGAGGTAGGCTGGCGTTTAGGTGAGCTTAGTTTATTCCTCTTTGTTTTTCTATAAGAGTTCTATTCTTCGTGTAACGTCCTGTACACAGCAAACTACCGTGGCCAGGTCGCGCTCGCCGCGGTAAGTAATCTCGTTATAGATAGACTAGTCCGACTCGTTGGCGTATTCTAGTTCGAGCGAGACTGGCCTAGTGAAACCGAACCGGTGAATCGAAACTACAAGTGTCACTAACGGCAAATGAGGGATAAAGGATTCCTGCGAAGGGAATGGCAGGACCCGTGTTACCTATTAATAGTTGTGAGTTTCTTCTGAATAGTTCCTTTGTATCGTGGCATCAATCGGTGTTTCTGACAGTTATTGACCCCGAAGAACAGATCTTATTGTCGAACAGATCTCATTGACGGATGTATTTTTAAACTTTGTCCACTGCTACACCGAACTATAGAATTTTGGTTGATGGGTATTTTCATGATCCTAAAAATAGTTCCAAATGTAGTTACGAGAAAATTCTATTTACACGATTTTGTTGCAATATTACAAAGGATACATTGACGCTTCTCGATAGGTATCTGTCACACATGTGGTGAAAAAGTAACAGGGGCAGGTCAGGCCTGCCAAGCCATGGGCAATCTTTATCACACGAATTGTTTCATATGCTGTTCTTGTGGAAGAGCGTTGCGCGGCAAAGCGTTCTATAATGTTCACGGAAGGGTATACTGCGAGGAAGATTATTTGGTATGTAAGACAGTAATTGCAATGGACGCGTGATACGATGACGTAGCTCATAGAATGTTTTGTCCACAGTATTCTGGCTTCCAACAAACTGCCGAGAAGTGCGCAATCTGTGGTCATCTCATCATGGAAATGGTAATTAAGTCGATAATATTAGGACGATCTATGTTACGACTTTATTTATTATCATTCTACATTTTCTTACCTATAGATATTACAAGCCATGGGGAAATCCTACCATCCAGGGTGCTTTAGATGTTGCGTCTGTAACGAATGTCTTGATGGTGTTCCCTTTACGGTTGACGTTGACAATAAAATTTACTGTGTTAACGATTATCACAGAATGTTCGCGCCAAAATGTGCTTCCTGTGGAAAGGGAATCACTCCAGTTGAGGTAAGTAATTATATTTTTAGATAGCGTAATTTTAATAAAGGAAGCAGATGTAACATTGATATAATTTACTTTTCAGGGTACGGAGGAAACTGTGAGAGTTGTTTCTATGGACAAAGATTTTCATGTAGATTGTTACGTTTGCGAAGATTGTGGTATGCAATTGACCGACGAACCGGACAAACGATGCTACCCACTCGATGGTAGACTTATGTGTCGTGCGTGCCACATCCAACGTATATCTCATACGCAACCCAGAGCACCACAGCCAGTATCAGCTAGTTATCAATTTATGGGATAAATTAAGTTAAATATCTTAAGACAATTTTTTAAGATTAATCTGTGTATCATCCAGTAATGAACATCGTTAAGAACTGACTGAACAAACTGAGCTATTACTAAGGTAAAATTTATACGTATTTACAAAGTAGAAATTTATAGAGGACACATATACCGATATTTACAATATAATCAATGACTGCAGAAATAACGTAGCTTTATTGTTCCTCTAAAACACGAAGGTTTTAACGTAACGTAGTAAGACTGGATATTTACAGAATCGAAATACTTACACTGCCCATTGGGATCATTTAGATAGTCAGGTCGATGTTTGATTTTTTTTCTAGCAATATATATCAGTGCAGTCTTACAGGAAATAATTTTACATTGACAGCTACTAATATAAGTTAGTGGTATATTTAATATATGTGCTCTTATTTATTTTGTCCAAGGTACTATACGTGAATGCAGTAGTCTCGTTAGGATGAACGAGTTGCGCAGGCAACTGTGATACATTAGCATAATAACTATGTCATTAAGCAATTTCTTATTTTAGTTCGTGTATATATGTTTGATACATTACGTATAATTATATATATTAATATTAATACTATACATAATATAACATGACACAATCCTGTTGTCAATACGTGTCCATTTTCTCGATTAAGATTTCTGGATGCGTCTCGACATAGTGACTTACGATAAATATAACGTTCATTACCATATTCGATGTCTCACGTTTTGCTAACAGTATTTATTACGACAATACATTATATATCGATTATTAGTGTCAAATCTTCATACAATACTCTCGATATTCATGAATATTACTCAGGAATTGTAATAACACGCTATCGTTAAATCATTAAAAATTACGCTAATAATAACGTTTAAATTAATGAACAGTACGACGTAAAATTCGATGCACTTAAGACGAATAATTCTAGAATGTTAAACGCACAGTTCATGCTGCCAAAAAAGTTTTCTTTATCTGATTAATCAATCAATATATCTACGTGTAGATGACTTAAGCTGAAAATAAGAGTATTGTAGATGGAAAGTACAATGTTATTTAAATGTATGTAAGATAAGACATCCGTTTAATAAAGAGGAGTGTCTGAGCATCCGTAATCCATTAATGTCTATTAATTTTTTTTATAGGGTTTCAGGTAAATGGTATATGGTAGGGCTTTCATATAATAATAGTACATACAGGATTTTCTTTTATCATAACATAATAACATTTACACATTTACAAGGGACAGTATACAATTCGTTCGATCGATCAGGCTTCTGGATTACAGATAAACCAAAATCTTTTATTCAGCAATTCTATTCTACATGTTTTCGCTAAGTTTTCGGAGGTTTTGTTTGTCGTTCTATTTTTAATGGTATCTCCCATGGCGTAGTTGTTTTACTTGGTTCTGTTGTCTACAACATAGAACAAATTATGAAGAACATATTATAAATTCATAGATGATGCGCTAGGAACCTAAAAAAGTAAACTAAATGAAAAGAATTCTAAGTTTTGATTTAGTAGGAAATAAACCTACACACAGTATCATATGCAGACTACATCAAGAAGGCATGTAAAAAAGTTGTCAATTTTAATTAAATATTTTTGTACAGTTTATTCTCAAGTATAAAAGTAATTTAATATACCTTAAATGACAAAGGTTTTACCATCCCTGACTTGCTAAGCTGTTTAATAGCCATTGTTGTACATCCTACATATACATTATTATTAATTTTTTGTATAATCAACAGTTTTGAGAATTACTTTTGTTTAATTACCTATAGTGACAGTATATCTAAGAGGTGTAAATATTTTATAAAGAAGGTACGTTAAAGCCCAATTTCCAACATTGGAGTTATTTACTGTCTCTATATATTTATTACTAAAATGCATAAGCTCCATGAGGTTTGTAATATCCACACCACTGAAAGAACAGACATTGCAAAGTACTGTGATTGTATGTAATTTATCATGTAAATATTATTTAACACTGCTTACTTTTTAATTGCTACATAAAATATGACAATCCATCCTATATTGGTAATTATATGAACTGGAATTAAAATATGCCAATAATCCTTGGTCATTTGTTTCATTTTCGCGAATACTGAGAGTTTTTTCATTGGCTGTACTTTCGGGGTATCTCCTTTATTACAGTTCAAGTTGCAATAACACGCCACCAAGGCATTCTTACCAAATTTGTTCTTATATGGCATTTCATATGTTTTAATGTGATTAAGGAACGAAACATAATTACACGAGGGGTTTCTATAATGTGGATACCTTTCTGAAATCGACAACGTCGTGATTGCGGTTGTAAATCATAGTAATTTTACGCGTTAACCTACCGAAAAATTTCAATCTCCAACTCTTTGAATCGGTACATCGTATGAGACGTGTTGTTTCTAAGAAATTTCTCGTCGCCAATATGGGACTAAATCCTAAAGTAGTTGCGAATCTCATGCCTCGACAAAAAGTCACATTCATTTTCGTAAAAAACGATTGTGGCTATTTCTAACCAACAAACTTTGTAACTTGTACTGTGAGTTAATCACAATTCTGACTCTGTCGAGTTATACGTCTTGGAGGTAAATTGGACAGAACTTACCGAAAGATTTATTTATTCTGGAAATTCCGGCCTATGTATTATTTGTAAAAATTATAAAAGCTCACATGTTTTTCGTACCATACACTGTAAAAGACTATTTGATAATCGAAACAGAACGAGCGACAATTGAGCCATCTATCGAGGTTTATATCGTTACTGGTTACTATCTTCAAAGAATTATTCTTTAGTCAGGAATCTTCATGAACAATTGTTGGTTATTATTTGTGACACAAATGAGGTACGGCAACAATTTAAAGATAGTTATAAATAAATTTAATGTAAAATACCAATGGTACGTATACATAAAATGTGATTTAGCATCAATTACGTAGTATTATATAGTTACATGATACAGAGATTGAGATAGAGATAGAGGTGCCTTATTACGTTGATTCTTGTTTAAAGACCTCATACGTATTTACATAATCTTTCATCATATATACAGTAGTATTTTATTTTATTTTTGTCTGTTAATATGTTGATATTTGTATACTAATTAAAACCAGTGGAAGGAATAACTGTGAAGTGATTTTTCGGGCGCCATTTTGATACCAGTGAAAAAACAATGCTGAAATAAGTTTTATAATTATGATATACTGTCAGCATATCTTGCAACTAATATTCTATAGAATCTTCTATAGAATTATACTCTTCTATAGAATTATAATACCTGTATCATCACGATTTGTAATCCAACCAACTACCGGTTCCATTTCGTTTTGTCGTTTTAACCATTGATTTAAAGGCTCGAAATATCTTAATATCGCGCCAGCATCCATTCTGTTTGTTCTGCCTCTTGTCATTTGTCGTACCACATCTTTCCAAGATCTAGACGATCCCATTGATAGCACATCGCTGAAAAGAAAATAAATATAATTGTAATTTTTTTTATAAGTATAAATTTTTTTAAAATTATTTGTTTACACGTACGATAATAATCTTCCAGCATCTCTTGATCTATAAAAATCACAAGTATGTAGATCACCAGTGTGGCCAGCTATTTCACATAAAGATTCGAACAATTGAAATTGCAAGACAACACCAACAAAATATCTAAAAGTAAAATTATATAAATGTTAAAATTTGTTAAATTACTATAGTAATCTCTATTAATTTTATTAAATTTTATTAGAGTTTCCTTTATACTTGGCATAAAGAGCATCAGCTGGAATATGATACTTCGATCCGGGATCAAAATCTCTTTCAGACCGTGGTACTGGAGGCACAATTCCTTGATATTGCAATCTTAATTCCCACCATTTATTTGTCATATCAGTAACACCCTCATTAAACACACGCCACCTCCACTTTTAACATAAAAGAATAGAAATGTATACGCTGTCTTAGAAATGTATCGTAAATAAAATATTGCAAAACCTCGTCAACTATGTATGCAAATGGTATGTAGGTAATTTTACGAAGCGCCATTAACATCAAGAAATTGATTTCGCTTTCATAATCGTTTGTAGAATTATCGTGCAATCCAATTTTACTTAAGTGTTGTGGGGTGAACACGGAGAGTTCAATGGCATCACTGACTGCTTCGAAAAATCCTAAATTTAATTTTAAAAATAGTAATTAACAAGTCATTCAACTTTTACTGTCACAATGATAATATTTTTTAACACCTGGAATTGCCTCGTTTCTAAATAATAATGGTTGCTCTCTATATTGTAAATAATATTGCAATCGAGCGATCTCGTGATGTGTCGATAGTAAATCCTCCATCGTAACTCTTGTACATTGCTTAATCCTGTAAAACTGATCTATTAAGTACATTAAATCATAATTTATCAGTAATGATAAATACCTGTAATCAATCCTGTTGCAAAAATCCCAAGCACTGGGAGTACATTTCACTTCTCTGTCGATAGGTTTCTCGAACATCGAGAATCTCCAGAATTCAGGTGGCATTGGCTTCATTCCAAGAGAAGTAAAGAACTCCTCTGCTATTTGAAACATCCTGTAACATTCTCTTATTAAAATTCAAAACATCAATTAATAATGTATTTGAATACTATCGTTATAATATCACCTCAGAGGTGTAATATTTTGAATCATCATTTCCAGAGTGACGTCTAATTTTTTACTTGCTGGAAATGGTTGCACTATGTCAAAAAGATCTTCCCAATTTTGTGCCCACATATTACCCAAAATATGCGCTGGGAGTGGTCCATCCCTTCTTATTCTATCGCCGTATCTTTCAAATAATTTTGTTCTTACGTAGGTAAAGAGATTTTTGTACAAATACATGACTGCTGACATTATATCTGCTGTGTTCTGTCGAAAATATTCGTCTTCGAAGAGTTCTCTCATTTGATCACCAGCATCCTCAAATCCTAAAAGAGACCAAAAAATGCTTTTAAAATTTAGGCTTCTCTAAAGAAATTTTATATTTAATTACATAAATTTGTTCACCATTTAGTCGAGCAGCTTGATTTGCTAGTTGGACGTATCTCATATATTTGTTTTTAAGTTGAGGCCCAGTAGCTTCATGCCAAGCATGCCAGTAGTATAGTAATTCATCATAATCCTTCGATTTCGCCATTGCTTTATTCACATCTGAGAAATGTACATTTATTTATTTATTTTTTTTACTTGCAATTTATTGATTACTACTGTGAATAAATGAACTAACCATGATCTAAACTCAGATCACAATTCGTTCCAATTGTTCTATAAGGACACACCCTTGTTCTCGCATATATTTCCTTCATTTCGAGGATCAGATTATGTAGCTAAAAATCATCAATATTTTTAATTTTCTGATTTATTTGCGATAACATTCTAATTTACCTCATTAAATTTGTCGTCTGTCAGAGAATTTCGTCCCCTGACAGCGATCATTTTGAGTTCCCTTTTAGCGAAGGGATCTCCTATTCGACTCCAAGCGAAACTGACAGCCTTTCGCCACGAAATTCGGTCGAATTTTAACTTTAAAGTCTGTTCCTCTATCTGATAAAGCAAAAACAAAGAAATTACCGATGAATCATTTCTGACAATCGATTCCTTTTAAAAAAAATTTTTTTTTCCTTTAAAATACCATTCGTCGACGATTTTCTTCGGTGACATTTGTTGCAAAATTCCATTGCGCTGTCATTACTCTCGTACACATTGCAGAAGCTTCGCTGTCATATTCTCTAAGAAATTGTACAGCTTCCCCTAAATTTACGTTCATACCCTAAATCCATTTTAAAAAAAAGATAAAAAAAATTTTAGTAGAATTTTCGATGCTATTTTATAGTTTTAAGCATAAAAATCGTTACATGGAATATTCCTACTGCCCTAGATAGCCAGAGCACATGATTCGAGGATCTAATTAGAATTTTAAATAAAGCTTTGACCTAATACTCCCCAGGGAATAGCAAGTCTCCCTCCAACCGTGTCAAGTAGGCTTCTATCAAAGTGTATCATCTCCAAAATACCGTTAATGTGATTTATAAACAACGATAAAATGCGAAAAAAAAACGTAAAAAAATCATGCTTTGTTTCCTTACCTCTAAGTACTTGTTAAAACTTCTCTGTATGAGAGAACATACAATAAGTATACCAACTAATTTCCTTAGAATCGTCATTTTTGTCATTATTAAAATTAGAAATAGGAATAAGTCAAATAAATTGTGAATATCGTTGATCTTCCTCAAAATCGTTTTTCATTCTCACGGGAAATAAAATGCAGTTAGAAAGTCAGGATGTTGACCAGGATGTTGGTTCTTCATGCACCACCGAGCATATTATTCTTGCCATTTTACTGATGCGTCTATCTTTTATGTTCCAAAAAATTGTATTTTACACGATATTAGAAAACGTAAAAATTTCTTTACACCGCGGTTTATTAACACACAACAAGCCTGATTTTCCACTTCTTTCTATAACTGGAACACTGGTTTTAGAAACTTTCGATTCGATCGTAAACGGTACGAGTTTTCGATATGATCGTCCCACATAAGGCCATCAAGTCCGAATGCAGAAGCTATCAAAGTTTTTAATAAGAAATTACTTAAATTGTTCACAGGAAATATTTCAACAAGCGTTGTTCACGAATTGGCAGTCGATTGAACATTCGGTACGTCGATGTTGTCGTCGCAAAACTGAATCACTGCAGAAAGAGAGACATGGTCTTCCGGGACGGATATTCCACGGGCGAAAAGAGGAAGGGACAGGCATCGTCGGTGCGTGAAGCGTGACCACCCAACATACCGTGGCACACGCCAAAATTCTCCTATCTTCAACCCGATTCAAATTTCTTAATGCATTTACACGAATATAGTTCAATATCGATGCAGTATCATCGTTCTATGAAACAGAACACTATTAAGAAATTTATGAACGTCTTTTGCATTCCAGGACTGTTGGTTTTATTTGGAAATTGTTTAGTATTCGTACAAGTGTTTGGTAATCATAAAACATGTTGTCTTTGAAAATAAAAATTGCCTATTGCAAAATATAAAAATTTACGTTCAACGATTTTAAAAATTAATATTGAAAGTTTCTGGATACTGATAGTTATCTTGTTCTGTATTTTGCAATTTGTTTTTCCAAGCAATTTGTATTTTATGGAAAGTACTGGTATCATGGAAAGTGGACGATCGTTTCAGGCTTGCTTCGTCTTCTAAACAAGCACCGTAACTCCAATTATCCGGTGGCGTAACCAGTGACGGTACGAGATTGTCGTAATTTTTTTACAGATATAATTGCATCCTCGTCTTCTAGCGAAGATTTTTGAGTTCGTCCAGTAGAAACGATTTTAGAAGACTGGCTCAAGTTGATGGAAAAAAGCAGGTGAATATTTTAAAAAACTATAAGGTATCCTGGCGATCCTTTCTTTACTTTTAACCTGAAATAATTTATATTTAGTCTATAAGTCTATTAAATTAGATAAAATTATGCCGTGACTTACTGTTATACTTCATCATTTATACGAGATTTCTTTTTGACTTGAGTCTGCTCTTTATGTTCTTTATATATTGTTCTTTGAATATTTCTACGTCTCTGCAATAATCTATAAGTTCTATCTAATGCCGCATATTCTTCTTGCGTCGCGACGAATTCTAAAATATCTGGTGCCTAAATAATTTTATTTACTTATATTACATTTATTTTATCAAAAAGACTGATCAATTAAAGAAACGGAATAATTACAGTGTGGGTCTCCATGAAAGTCAATAAATCATTTAACTGCGAGTTCAACCGTTTCACTTTAACCTCGATAGTTCTGTGCTCGACTTTTAACTCCTCAATCTGATTCTGCTTCGATATAATTTCCTTCTTCGCCTCGTTCAATTTACGCAACAGATCTTCCAGTTTCTGCTTGTGTTGCGTTAGTTTCAGATGATAGTACCCTGTTACGAATACAATGAACAGACCCAATCTTATACAAGATCTTACGCTCAAGATTGATCACCTGCGATCCTTTTCATATCGATCACGTACAGATTCTTTTCCTCGAGCAACTTTGCGTAATCCTGATTCTCGATGTTCAATTTCTCGAAGTCAACGGCATGAAGTAACTCGCCTAGCTCCTTCCTCTGTGCAAGCTGCTGTCTAGCCTTTCTGATGTGCATCTTCGTCGTGGCGCTCTTCAATCTCAGTCTCTGTAGTATCGTGTTTGCCGATCTCAGCCATTCTTCAATGAATCTTCGCGAGAACCCGCGCGTGAAAAATGCATTCACAATACGGTATTAGACCCTGAAACATGTGTAATCACCTCATCACTCGTTCAGCAACAATCTTGCCTGTGATAGGGTCCACGCCTTCTGTAACCACTTCCGACTCAAACGTTTCCCTCGACTCGTGCACCTCGCTGATACGAATTTCGATTTCCTCGATGTCCGCTCTCATGATTGTTTTCTTCTTTCGGGCGAATATCCGGAACTGTTGCAGTTTCTTTTTCATTTCTTCCACTTCCTTTCTTGCCATGACCATTCGATGCGCGATTGTGATTCTGATAGGATGAAGTAGTATTTTGACAAGATTGTTCGCAGTGGTTTCTGCAGTTTCAACGATATTTTAATTGAAATCTGAGAATTGACTGCTAACGGAAATGATATGCTAACTTGGCAGTATCGCTAGTAGTTCCCACTGTCATGAGACTTGGCGTTCCAAATCTACTTATTGTCCGCATGCTGACCACACTGGGTGAACTAGCAATACTGTGTTTGCCAAAGTCATGGAAACTTAGTATGCTCTCCCGGAAGCTTATACGCGATGTTCTCGGTATCATATGTTGTGTGACTCGTCGTGTGATTTTTGCCCTTTCTAAGATGTTCTTTATAGCTTAATAAAAATTTCAATCGATTTGTAAATTTTGTCTATCTTGTAGATAATAGATTTGTTCGAAATTAATAAATTAGATTGTAGATTGTACTCTTTACTTTTGAGGCCCTGAGGATCTTGTCGGGTCAGGTATCTTTCGTACACGTCGTTTTCTAGAGTCAGCATCCAGATTTTTTGCAAGAGGTCATTCTGCATTTCTTGCAACTCATCGAGAGTCATGACTATAACCGAAGATTAGGAGAACTATAGTCGTTCAAGTTAAAAGTGGTTCACGGTACGTATTTGATTGACACGCACCATCAAAATTTATATCATCATCACTTCTATGGATCATTCGTGATCCGATACTGAATATGCTCTCTCGAAGTGACATTACGACTATTTCGTTTATTCGTTTCGGTAAGTAACAAGAATGGGATGTGGACGGGTTAGAATTTTTTTTCTTTTTTTCATGGCCTGAATGCAACTGCATAAATAGATTCTCTCGCTATGTTCAAATAATATTCATTTAATTGTAAATTTCGTATAGTGATTTTAATGCATGGTGATTCGTTGTACAAAGTGTATAACAAATTTTCGTGGCAGGTGAAGCAACAAGAACACAGTGTAGAAATGGTCCATCATATATTGGGCTACGTTTCTTCATTTTCTTTGAGAAATTTCTCTTTCTCAATTTCCATTTCGTCGATGTATAAAGAGTACACTATCCCAATGTTCCTCTGTCCAGAACTGTACGTTCTAATTGCTGCTGGAAGATCCCCTACCGAGAATAAGATTTCTGCACCACCATCGGTGAATTCATTCTGGAATTAAATATTCAATTTCGATTTGTTTCAATTATAAGATAATTCCTTTTCTTTACCTCAGTCTCGATTTGTTCGCCATTTACCCAAACATTCTGCGTTTGTTTATCTATAACAGAAATTTTATTATATTTATTTTTTCATTAAATAAAAGTAGTGGGATTAATAAAATAATTACCTAGGACTATTCTATATTCTTCATTTCCAACATTAGCCAACCAGCTGTCCAAGATTTTTGACTGCGATCGCACGAAGTTCTTATAAGGTTTCCCATTCACCCACAACGAGTAAGAGTATTTTAAACCTATATAAATTTTTTTGTACAATGAATTTTTAAATTTTTATATGTGAATGTGTAATTAATTTGAAACACGCTTACCTGGGATTGGATCAATTCTAATTACGAATTTATTATCGTTGAAGCTGAAAATTTCGTCTCCAACTAAATGAAACATCCAGTCTCTGTGAACTATTTCTTTGCCATCTATCCTCACTAATCGACGGCCTGTTGCAGTACCGTGTTCGAATTCTATTACGTGATTTCCATCGCTCAAGGGAATGTTCCATTTTGCAGTTGGTTCATCTAGAGATTCCAGAGTGTGCAAACTTCTAAAAAAGTTTTTTTACTCAGGGCCATTTTAAGATTTATTTAAGATTTATTTAAATATTACTTTAAACATATTTGTGTTTTTTTCTTCTTTAGGAAAAAATAATTTCATGGATTATACAAAGGAAATTATATATCGTGTCAGGGTGAAGATACTGTGCTAGTTTAGTAGACAGAATACCACACTACTACGTTATTGATCTAATTTCTGACCTTCTTTAATGCTTATTATGGTATGTAATTGATAGTTACTGTGCTCTTTGGGCAAAAAGAAAACGTAGGAAACAATTATTGTGCAGTGTTTTATTTGTATACATCGATAAAACTCGTTAAACAAACAGGATTTTATTAGTTATTACTTACTTTAACAGCATAGCAGCCATGTTCCCTTGATACTCGTTGTACCTGTACCTGTACTGGCCTCCTTATTGATCGAATTTACTACGACCATTTCACGATTCGATAATCTGTTCTACGTCACAGTATGTTATATCGCAACATAATTTCGATTAGATTTATTTTCTTGAAGCGAATAAACGAAACAGTTACTCTCTAAATGAATAGTACACAACATTTTATTTGCTATTTATATAATTTTTATTACATTTTTTAGTAGCTAAAAATTGATAGCCAACCCACAAATTTATAATTTATAATTATAAGTACCACCAACGTATATTACACAACGTATATTATCACAACGGAATAGAAAATTATTGAGTAGTGGGAGGTAATAATTTTCCCGAACATGGTCCAAATCCGATTCTATACCCATCGCCGACACAGTAACCTATAAAACAATACTGAACTGTCAATAATCTCGTAACCGTGCACGATGTAAATTATTTAGATGAAAGTAGCGAGCGTACCGCGAATAATCACTTCGTCACCATCTTGTAGGAACTTCCGGTTAGTCCCATCTCTTAACGGTATAGGCCGAGTGCCTTTCCAAGCGAGCTCGAGCATAGAACCATAAGAATCATCAGACTGAAACATACATCGATTCAACATTATATTATTTAGCCTGGCCATTGATGATTTAATTGACAGATAATGACAAAAATTTAGAACGCACCTCGCCACTTATCGTACCGGAAGCCATTAAGTCACCCGGATTGATATTGCATCCGGTTACGGTATGGTGGGCTAATTGTTGTTGGGGTGTCCAGTATTGGAATTTATAATTACTACGACAGACAGTGGTAACGATACCGTTTGGAGCTAAAAATTAAAGGGAAAACGTACAGTGTAATTTTTTTACAGTAACATTTTTAAAAAGAAATCTCTAATTCATAAATCTTACTTTTGATATCAACTTCTAATTTAATATCGAAGTTACAAGATTCACTGTGCTGTAAATAAGGAAATGGAGTTGGATCTTGGGATACATTAGGTACTTTGAAAGGTTCTAAAGCTTCCATGGTGACTATCCACGGAGAAATGGTGGTTCCGAAATTTTTCGCTCCAAAAGGTCCCAATGGAACGTATTCCCATTTTTGAATGTCTCTTGCTGTAATTATTTTTATTAATCATATTTTCTTTTTTATTTTTACTAACTCTATCTGTATGGAGATCTGTGAGAAAAATTAGAATTACCACTCCAATCGTTCATGGTGACCATTCCAAAAATATAGTCATAAGCTTTGGATGCTGGAACGGTGTCACCTAAATTTGTAGGAGGTCCAACGAAGAAGGCTACTTCCAATTCGAAGTCCATTAATCTGGAAGGACCATATGCTGGGGGTGCACCCTCTACCGGAAGTGTCTGACCATGAGGTCTTCTTAGCGGAGTGCCAGAAACAACGACTGAACTCGCTCTTCCATGATAACCAACCGGTAAGTATTTCCTATGGGCATATCAAAACTATTACAATTCTGTCAAATTTATATTTCTTAATTCTTTCAACTGTTTAATTAATTACCAATTTGGCATCAGAGCATTTTCCTTTCCGCGGAACATTATGCCTACATTTGTGGCGTGATGAATGGAGGAATAAAAATCTGTATAGTCGCCAATCTTTGCTGGTAAATGCATTGTTGCTTCATTCTGTTTTACAAATACTCTGTAAAAATAGAATAGTTGAATACATGATTTATTACGTTGTTTATTGGGAAAGAGTAGGAACATGTTTATTTTACTTCGAACGGGTATTTGGTTCTTGCAAAGTAGGATTGCTGGCTGACAGCAAATCTTGAAGTTTGCTTCTGGCTTCTATCCAACTAGGTCTTCCCAAGGCCATAAAGTCGTTGAGACAATCACGACGAAGTACATCTTGATTATTTTTTAATAATGGTCCATCGAACAGATGTGAAATGACGGATAAATCTAGAATTTCATCGCCTATCGCTACTCCTATTCTCTTTTGAGGCTGGAAAATTTATTGATGTGATGTAATACGTTACCAACGTTCGATAATATGGTTTGGCAGTAGGTACAATTGGGAAATACAAACATAAAAAAAAAAGAAATATAATTATTGGTGCTTTTTAATGACACCTGTACATAATTTTTTAAACATTCTCAATAATTAATTTCAATGAATATTAACTGAAACAAGAGAATGATACAATTTACGTAATTGTGTGATATATAGTACAATATAGTACGTTCAACAAGTTGAACGTGTATAAAGAGAAGAGATTCTTTCTAAAAATTAAAAATTCAAAAAATTAATCTAACAATTAATTAAAATACTATTTTGCTGATAACTGTATTTGAAAGTACGCGCCTTCGAGTTTTACATTATTATCCGAATCACATGTAGATGGCACTTCACTTAATCGAGACAATGATATTTCATTTGTATTGGCAAAACAATTACTTTTAAATAGCAGTACTATGTCAATTATTCCTATTTGTACAAATAGGAATGTTATCGTGATGGATAGTTTCAATAAAAAAATTTTCCTCTATATTTTCGCATAACCTACAAATCTTTTCTCTTTAGTGTCATTCTAATCTATATTGAAGTTGGTATACGATGACGAATTACTTACATTACTCTTTGTAGAAAAGACACCGTAAGGGAGATTTTCGATTGGAAAATCACAGTTTGGAGAATACTCCACGAAACTCTTCATGATCACGGTTGTTTTGAACGACTGAGCCAAGTCATGATTTCAAAACGCAGATGTATGATAATCGCGTAGAGGCTTGTCAAGGTCGACCGGCCACCATGAGATAATTTATTCATTTCTGTGACGAGCCCCCCGTCTAACTGCTTCTTAAATTTTCCCACTGTGTCAATTTACTAGAAACTCAACTTTGGAATCTCCATATTTATGAATTTGTTATAAACTTGCTAAAAAATATTTTTGCTTCATGAACGTATGATCGCTTTTAATCAGTTTGCTAAGTCATCGTCTATGTTATAATACTTTATAGATCGGTATCTATGAAAATCTTTAAGCAGTACACTGATTTTAATAAAATATAATGGTTTGTTGAGAACATTATTAATAAACTACAAACGAAATACAAAATAGTTGTGTATCTACAAAGAATGTACTATTTTTTTGTAGTAAATTAAAACTGAACTTTAATTAAAATTACAATTACTATACAAACAAGAGTTGCTGATTATATATATTTATATCTTAACGTCTTCTTAAATCAAATTACAAATTGCATTTTTTTTTATGATAATAATACTTTTCGAGAGCTTATCAAAGTATGGAGTTCTATATTTATTGTTTTATATTAAAATATTTAATTTGAATTATTTTAATATCTGGATTAAATGTAATTTCTACGTTCACTGTTTGTTTCTTCATTTCCGTTTCTAAAGTTAAGAATTTCCACAAGCATCCGTAGATCAATTGTTAGATCTATGTTACATAAACTGTTGTTGAAGGTGGAATGAAGATAGAAAATCGTATTGACAGTTTGGGATAACAGCAGTTTATTAGACATTGATATATAGTGGGTAATAGGATCAATTAGGTGGTACTTGTCGTACAACAAGATCACGACGTGCCAGCAATCGTCGCTACAACGCCGCGTACATCTTTATATAGTTCCATATTCTTTCGCTTGTCTCGTCGCCAGGAGAGTTTTGCACACACGTGTACATACATATATATCATTATATATAATTATCTTTTCACCTATTTATAGATATATATATATAAATGTATTTTCTCGTTTACTTTTTCATCATTTGTCTTTGCTTAATTACATACAATTTATAAGGATAGCTGCGCGCGCGAACCGCGCGGCGTCTTTTTAAATCTCGATAATACTCTCTGATTTTTTTTCTTTCTTTCTCTCTCTCTCTCTCTTTCACGTTTGGAAGACGTCGGATTTTGTTGTTGTTCTTCTTGCTTTAACTTAGATTAATAATTAACGATAACGAGGTTATAGGGCTAATGAGATCACTCTGGATCAGTTTGATAAATCACAAGGAAAGGAATTGACCAACGTTAATTATACTTGTGCCGATTTCATATGGTGCTCTAGTTTCAAATAATGGAAAGAGACATTGTATTTCTATTCTCTTCTCTTTTTTCGATCGTGTGCGCGCGTGCATGAAAGGTGCATTGAAACGTGCATTAGTGCATATAGTGCGTCGAACGCCAGTGTGCTCGAAAGTTAAACAAGTGAAGTGCATATATGTATAACAAGATACTAAATTACATGGTGAATAACAATAACGCACCACAGCGTAGAGTATGCAGTAACAACGTCGTAAGAATAGAATGTAACATAGCTTAATGCATTTTCATCTTTAAATAAATCTCATGTTGGTACAACGGTGCTAACGAGTATCGAAGTGAACGTATGCCGCGCTTTTACAAATCTTCGATTCTTTAAGATACAAGAGGAAATGGGCACAAGAACAATATAAAAAACCGTCGTTAATCAACGGTACTGATATGGTAAACGCTTACGTTTACGTTCACAACGGTGTGAAATTCCTAAATTTGTCAAGTGTACGTGTAATATGTATCAGCAGATAAAACGCTCGAGATTTTTCTACTTAGATAGTGTTATTGTATAATTCCTCTGTCTTTACAAATATAGTACTTCTTTCCTAAATTTTTTGGTATACGTGTGTGTCTCTGTCTGTGTATATAAGAGTGTTCCTCTCTGTTCCCTCCTTAATCACGTTACGAGGGTACAAGTGAATTTGTCGAAGTAGAATCAGCCATTCAGTCGGCAGTATCAACGACTGGTGGTTAAAAAAGGATTTACAACGCCGATAAAATTGTGGACAATTAACAACAAACGGTTCGATAGAGTGTCTCTTCTGCAGGTATCGGTAATCGTGGTCAGATGAATGCCATTCATTTGTTTCTTTTTTTTTTTTTTTTCTTCAAAAATACATATCCTCTGCTTCTCTAGTATTGTCTAATGCAATCGTGATTTCGTTTCGATTTCACATGCAGCTTGCGAATTCCGTCTCACGTCGACTTTAAACCGATATATCTACGAATTGAATGTTGCATCAGGCCTTTATCTCGTTAACACGTTATTTTCCCTCCTCTGTATATACTTGTGTCATTTATTCTCTCTTCTCTCATTTTGTTCATTCATTCTCGAATCTCTTGTGAATGGAACGAAATTTATCGACGGCTCGGCAAATGTCGACGGGAAATGAAAACGTTAAGTAAATTCGTCGATTTACAATAGATCGATTTTCAGATCTTCCTTATTAATATACACCTAGATATTTTGTATTTACTTACGGTTAGAGTCATCTTTATCCTTTTCTTTTTTTTTTTTTTTTTTTTCTCAATGGCGAGTGAATCGAAAAATCTTTATAGAGTCGTTCGGTTTTTAAATGTTGCCTTTTTTTCTTTTTTTATATATATTTTCACTGTCGAACAGATTGAGATTTCTTCGTCGTTTCGTTACGAGGCAAAAATATCGTAATCCTTTGAGTCGGTGCTTCTTTCCTTTTCTATTAATGAAATGAATCAACGTACATGACGCGACAGAGCTAACGATCGACAGAGTTCACCTAAAAAGTTGTGTAAAAGACGAAAACTAATTTCTAAGAAGAGATTCTTTTGTCAAGTATGTAATAAGATCAGTTTCCAACGGTGTATAAAGGTAATCGATGAACTAAATGACAACCGTTCGCAATATTTGAAAAAGCATGTACTTTCATGGGTTTGTGTTTTGTATTTTAAAATCTCAACGCTAAATATAATATATAATATATATATATATATATTTATATATAATATACGCTTTCTTTACTTATACTTTTTTTTTTTTTAATTTTAAATACATTTATACTTTTTTTTTATATTTCCTATAATTTGTATTTTAATAAATATTACTCTCCATTTTTTTGGTGAAACTCTTCAATAATAAATAATAACGTACATTTTGTATATAATAATGGATACGGACCTCCCCCCCCTCCCCTCTTGCATTATATAGTGTTTTTGCAAACGATCAATAAGTAACAAATTCGTTTAATCTCTCAACAAAGTAACGCACCCCTCTAAGCGAACTAATATCATTATTTCTATATTACTCCGCAGTGTACCGTTCCAAGTAAAAATATTTTGTACATCTATCTCGTTCTCTTCGAACGAATTTTCAGTTTAAGTTCAATTTTCTTTGGGGTTTCTCTTTTTCTTTCTTCTCGTTCGTGACAATTCTTGTCGTCAGCTTCATTCTTACTTATTGTCTCCTCGTGAACGCTTACGCAACGTGAATTTCCACCTCATCTTGGATCTTGTAACTTTCAACAACGATTCTGAACGAAACGAACGGGACCAACTATTGGAACGTGTATATACATGTACTCTCGAATCGAAAATCAATTACTCTCGATCACTATAAGCGCGATTAACTATTTTGTCGCTATTGCTTGAATTTACGATGAAAACGCGTCGTTGCTACTCCTTCGTCTCCTCTTTCTCCCCTCTTTAGTGAGTACGTATAGCGCTGAGGAATGAAAACTAGTAACATTTACGGCCGGAAGCATCGCTAGAGCTTTGTAACTTGACTCTTCGTTTCACGGATGTGCTGTACGCTTACACCTAGAGTAACTTACTTGCTATGAGTATCCTTCGATCTTGTAGCTGTTTCGTAATATGCTGAAGAAGCATTTCTCGTGCGCTACGAACGATGATTCGATGACCGACTCTCTCCTGTCGTCAATTTTATAATCTCGAATGTTTAAACAACGTTGAAAACAGTCGTCCGATTTCATTGCAATATCCATTTCTCGGGAAGGGGATATTGATCTGAAAGTTTGAACTCGCGGAAACAGCGCCAGATATCTCAGGAAAACAAAAACCTCTTGAGTGAAATTTTAATTCAATTGAATTGAAACAAAGGGAAAACTCTTTTCTTAGAGTAATTAAAAACAGTTTTTAATTGAATTTTTTTATTGGAAAAAAGGCAAATAAAACGCGAGAGAAAGGAGAGAGTCGGTTTACGTCTGCTTAAGTTAGTAACCATGATTGCGAGCCTCGAATTTGGCCTCCGGATTTTGTACACGCAGTGAAATGCGACGCGGTTCTCCCGCTCCCGTTAATAGCAGGAAATCACTTTCGATACGATGTTGCGATGAAATCAGCTGCATCTCCGCGGCTGATTTCGCAGCTAATTAGAACAGGCAGGTTTCTTACAGATCGTGGCCTAACCGGTCCATTTCGGCCAGTAGGAAGTCGACGTCCGCTTCCGTTACCGCGGCACTCGAAATAATGTTTCTAAAGAAGTTGGGTCGCCGATCGTCTGGCTGGTAGCCGACCATCAACGTTCCAGCTTGCATCATTCGGCCTTTCAAGATGGGACAAATCTGTGGACAGACATTTTCCCCGTGGTTTTTTGATCCATTCAGAGCATTTAACAATGTTATTATTAATATCGACCAATATTCCAGAAATTGAAATAGTTGGAATAGTTGGAAAATCGAGAAAATTTGCAAGAATAATATTTTAGTATCTGGAGAGAATTACGGTCTAGTTCAACTAATTAGGAATCTAATCTAGAAATTAATCTCACATCTGCAAGAATCTTGATCCTCTCCTGCGTATGTGGCATGTTCCTGACGCGTGTTGGCAGGTACCAGAAGCAAACGTTCACCATTTCGGGTTCCAGTATCAAGTAATATTTATCAGGCATCTGCTTGATCCGCCTGACCATGTATTCCGAAAGTTCCATCAGTCGATCCATATGTTTCTCGAATCCTTCTGTACCCTGTGTCAAAAAGCAATTTGCCAAACGTTCATTATCCCAAGTCGCAACATCCTTCTAGAAATCTCAAATAAATTCTACGAATCGTGAGATTCTTCGCAGGATCATTCTGTCTCTACGTGTCTCTAGCTTCGTTACGATTGTTACGTGCAATGTACCTTGGCTCGCCATTGCAACCAGAGTTTAAAGATGTCATTATGACGCCCGCATTGTATCACTTTATCACCGGTGTCGTATTTCACGTCGTACAGTTTGTCCGTCATGAACAAATACTCGGCGGACATTTGGTTGCAGCTAATCAGCAATCCCTGCAACATGAAGAGAGGCGAATGCGTCGCGAACGAGGGGAGAAAGCCACAGTCTCGCTTGTTGTTCAGTTTTTCCAGTTTTCGTTCTCTTTTTACCCCTCCTCCCCCACCGGCCCTCCCAGTTCATTTTATGGATCACAATGAGCGTTTCGAGCCGCGTTCGGGAAAGTTTCTAATTGACAGGCGCGCGAGAAGGAACAAACGCGGAGAGACGGGCCCCGGTCGATATGAGAATTGCAACTCATGCGCAGGAAGAGGGAAACTGAGGGATATTGAATTTACAAAATGGCGACTGGCACACCGCCACCCTACTCCAGCCGCCATTGTATCACGATCCTGCGATTCTACGCGTCTCGCGTTGTAAAAGTTAATTGAAAGTTTGCAGTTGAACGTTCGTTACTCGTGATTCTTTACCGTTCAGTAATTCTTTATTTTACACGATGAGGAGAGAATCGCGGAGTAAACAAGAAAAATTAATAATTGGAAATTTGTTAAGAATTGAAACAGTAAGAATTGCACTGATACGAGAAAATTCGAATATTTTAAGAATGACACGTGTAAGTAAAAGCGGCCCGTACTTCTGATCAGACACACGATTACTTGCGTCACAAATACACAACCGAGTAAAATCACAACGTGAAAAGTTTCGACTTTTCCGGGAATAAACGAACGATACGCGAGTAAGTAGAAACGGACGGTATCTGATCAGACACGCTGATCAAACTCTAAGAGGGATCGATTTTTACGTGATTTTGACTTCTCAGTTACAAGTTGCGACAATATCAAACTCAAGACACCTCCCAATCGTGCGAGAAGAAGGGAAAAGAACTCGGTAGAATTTCCCTCGAAACGTTTTGCGGCAGCCGGTGCACGGAATTTTAATATCCGAAGGGGAAGTTCTGAGTTAGCAATAACCACGCAGGCGTGGGGGGATAAACCCTCGGGGGCAAATGGCCGTGGTACGGTCGGCAACATATGTTATCTCTTAGTTTAATTAAATTCCTGCAGTGCTGCGTTCCGACGCGTACGTCTAGCCCCTCGGAATGCAGCTACTGTTGTGTCATCACCCTTCCAGGAGACAGGAATTTCGCTCGTTCAACGCTCCATCTCCGACTGTCGATTTGTCCGACGTGATGCATATGCACGCGAGCGAGATACGTCTCGAAGATGGATGGTGAAACAATTCTACTATGCGGCAAGGCAAACGATCAGAATGATTTTGGGAGACTTACGTCCTCCTTGAAGTGAATCGTCGAACATTGAAGCAGCGCTCCCATGAGTTTGTGCGGGTTCCAGGTGACCGAGTCGGCTCTGTGAATTTTTACACATTATGAGAAATCTGTATTAAATATTTATCACTGTTCAAGTATCATTTGAAGTATTAAAAGATACCGGAGACATCATTTTGGATACCTGGATTGAGAGAGGATTCTTAGAATTTACTATTGTTTGTTTGTTGTTTTGTGGAAATTGTTCGTTTCTTGAAGCTTGAACAATAATTATTGTATCCTTTTCCAAAAAAATTGTGAAAGTATTTTGGAAAGAATTATAATTTCAATTCCAATTTGACGACGAGAAGTGATGGATTGACAAATCTAGTCGGAACGAGTTTTGTCTATAATCTAGAGAAAAGAGTGACGTAAAGATGGCTGAGAAAGGCGGACGAGCTCAGCTGGTCGTCAAACGGTTATCCACTCCCACAGGGACCAATAGGGGATAAAATATGAGTTATTTTCCCTCCATACCTCGTGGGGGTCCATCAATTCGAGAGAAGAGCTATTAATATAGCCACGGGATTGGATTTAACCCTCTGCTCCTGAGAGACACACCCTTGCACTAAAAACTCTTAACCCTTCTAAATCCTTGCCACTGCGAAACGCGAAAATCTATGTACTACTTGACACTAATTCGCGATGCACTTGAAACGTTCAACAAGTGTCGTTCACCTTCTCGTTAAAATGATCCACATCTTTTGACACGAGTTAAATTAGTCTCATGCGACTTTTAATTCATCCAGAGATGATAATAAACAAAGTATTTTAAAAAGGTCATTCGAATTTCAAAAAACATGCTTCTTGCAAAACCTTTTTTTTTTTATCTTGTTAAAATATGATAAAATTTATTTTCGACAGAATAGGTAATTTTTAAGTAAAAAATTTATTCTGTAACAAGAAAATTATCTAGTGAAAGTTTTTTGATACTTCGTTGTCGCTTTGCGATCTTCGATAAAATGTTAACTCGATGGTATCATCGTAAACAATAAGCGTCAATATCTTAAGAATCGGTATCACAATAATTATTCGGAATGTGTGCGAATCAGTAGAATCAGACGTGAATACACGTGCGGGCGAACATGACACGGCCGTCTGCTTTGTGACAAACGTTATCGACACTTGGCAAGTGACACATATATCGCGACACTGTCCCTACTGTCTGTTGACTATCCTGTGGATGATGCAAGGGTACTTGAAACGGCCAGGGAAAGAGATTCGTGTCGACGACAGGCATTTACCATTAGTCACTCTTTCGCATCCTCTTTAACGTACAAGTTTATCGTGCTGTTGTATCGTCAGCATTTCCAGCTTATCCCATTTCTCACGGACCATGTATTTTCTACAAAATCGAAATTCCACAGTGTGCGCTTCATTTTAATTATTATTCACGGATGATAAAGTCCCGTTGTTTAATTAATATCCTTAGATGGCATATTTCCTTTCCGCGTGCTTTGAGACTGGATTTTTCAAAAGTTACTTTAACTTTAGTGTCTTTTGCAATTATTATTTACAAATACAGTTTCACTTTAGAACACTGATGGCAGCGTTTCTTGTGTGTTTTGATTTTCCATTAGTTAAAAAAGCATATCGCCAAGAGTGTGCGTAATGTCTGTACATAAAGCTCGAGTGATTAATGCGATTCGCAGCTGGGGCTGGCGCGTGCAGCACCCCTCCGTTTTCACTCTTAAATTCGTCCTAGGTGCCAACCCCAAAAGCCGCGCGATATATATTACGAGGGTTGCTAATTATCCTCCTTCCGCCGCAGAAGCTAGGCGAGGAAAGTCTTTTCAGTCGGAACTGTCAAACTCGTTATTCGCCGTGGAAGAAGGATTGATACGTCAATCTTGAAAAACGGTCCGTTTTCTTCGCGCTTTCTCTCGACCGGTGAATACCAAAGGACAATTGAACTTCGAAAAGATTCGCGTCGCAAACGAACCTTCACCCGACAAAGAACTGAAGTAATCGTGCTCTAGAGAATCGAAAATTCCCAGTGCTGTTCGAGGGAAGCGCGTATGAAAGAAAAATACACATGGAAGCAGCTGAGCTTAGCGACAAAGCTGTCGAATCTAGCGAGAGGAGCACGCGAACTTTCAGCTTCTCTTCCTCCTGCAAACCTCTGCCTCTCTTCCCCGGGACCTTTTATGCGTAATCATTTCTGACTTTGTCGCGACGTTGGAATCACGATTTTCCTTTTTCTCTCTCTCTCTCTTTCTCTCGCTCTCTCCCCCTATCATTCTCTTTGTTGCTCTTTTTCGAGAATCTGCACTGTTCCGTTCGAGGGAGAGACAACGAGGATTGAGAAGGAGAGAGGGACGACAGAGAAGACAGACAACGAGGGAATGAGGGAAGCTGTTCCCTTTGTACGAGTTTAATCCAGCATTGTCGAGGCACGGTCTTTTATTTCAGACTCGCGGAAGAGGCACGGCACGATGCGGCGGCGCGTCGATATATAAAGAGGAGAGTTCTGTTCTGCAAATGCGCTCCAGGGAACTGATCCAGCTGTTGCTCGTCCTTCGGACTTTTCGTTTGCCATTTTAATCAAGAGCCTTCGCAGGAAGGAAGTCCTGGGGTACAGTCTGTGCAAGCAGGAAACGGCGATGACACGGAAAACGTCGACGAGAGAAGAGGATTCTGCTCGTCGATTTCAAGCGTTACACGCGCTTTGTTATGCATCGTCGCGGAACGGGGCAATAATTAACCATTTAAATTCCATATTATTTTACAATCGCTCGTATTCTACAATTTTTCAAACTCGATCTTGACTCTCGGAAATTAACAAGTTAAAAGAAGAAAATCAGTGATGAAATTTCATCTCTACGCGGCAGTGTGGTAACTTATAAGTTTCGAAACATATTTACTTCGTTGTAGAAATTTAATATAAATCGCTATGAACTACTCTAACACACGTAGATTCAAATAATAATTTAATTTCTGGATAAGAGGAACAAGTGCACCGAGTAATTAAATTTTTAGTTATTAAATAAGGAAACACAAGAGGGGTTTGCTAAAAATTGTGACGAGTCCTGTGTATTTTGGATATTATTTTTGGATATTACGTGCATAAAAATCTGCACATTCCGCGTGTGCAGAAAATGAGAAATTCCGATGTAGAAGAACAAACGACAGTATACTGTAAAACTACTCGAAACCGGCGACTTTTTTGCGTGAAAATGATTTTTCCTGGCAGGCCTCGTGCCACTTTTTTTCGGGTCACGGACTGTCTGGCGTTGAATGAAGGGAGCAGATGCGGCCGGATGCAAATCGCGGATTAATCTCGCCAACCCCATCTCAACTACCCCCACGAATCGTTCTATCCCTGACCCCCAATTGCAGCGCGAGGGGTCGGACATCACTCGCCTCTGGTGAATCTATATGCGAAAGTTCGCATGTGTCGAGGACAGGAGTCACTCCTTTCTATCGCCCCTCGATTCTACGGATTACGACACTGTCCAGATATAGCTGGCAGGTATCTTCTTTCCGCGTCGATTAATTCATCCCGAATTTTAGCTTTGTTCGAGTCTCGCTATAAATCAACGAAAAACTCCATTCCACGATCCGTTTTTAGAAAGATTTTTGAGTTGTTGCAATAATCAGAAATAATGCCATTTAATCTATATTTTTCTAAATTGCTGTGAATTATAATTCTTATACACAGTGACTTTTCAAGGATTAAAGTACCGCATTCTCGGTCCAGATATCTTGAAAAAGCTCTATCGATTTTATCTCTCATTCAGGCGGTGAGCGTACGCTTTCTTTCTGGATGACTCCATCAAACTAAGCCTCAATAAACTATAAAGTACAAGGATTAAGCCACCCTCCTGTGCGGCACGTATGAAGGTGATTCTCGTTGATCGGAAAAAGGCGCGTTAAGAAGGTTGGATCAATTTAAGGGTGTCACGTTTTTTAGTGAAAATGATATAAGTGAAATAGTATTACTTCTTTTCACTCACCGTTCGATGCCTGTCATTCGCGGGTGCCTGTATTTCCTCGAAAGAAGCAGTCCTCCACCCCAAGCCGCCTAAGAAGAAAAATTTCACTTTGTGAAATAAAAGGAAACGAGGACTTTGTAAACTGTGACTCTTAAAGCCCAGATTTCCCGAATTTTCTCTCAATTTAACTCCCCATCGAAACTGGTCGTCGACTATGTGACGCTTCTCACATTTATTATTTACGCTAAGGCTCTTACGCGTTTGGCATTTATCGTTCGAACGTTGAACCGATTTGAATAAGCTGCCCGGCTAAGTGGAAATCTCTGTCGTCCCTTTCTAGCTTCGAAATACTTTCATTCTCGGTCTGTTGTCCATTACATTAGTCCATTACATCAATACGATAAATTTTTGTTCTTTTTCATAATTTTAAACACGCGATATAATGGAAATTTCATCTTTTGTCTATCGTCGTTGATATTAGGTTATTACAACTGCTGATTTTTCATGCAATTTGGTAGAATCGATTGATTTCACTTACGTCGATGTGCAGCCAGAGCTGGTGTCTCTGGCAGATATCAGCGATTTCTGGAATAGGATCGAATGCTCCGATGACGGTTGTTCCAGCGGTAGCGTTCACGAAGAATGGGATATGTCCTTTGGCCTTACGCTCTAGAATCAGTTCTTCCAACTTCGACGGAATCATACGTCCTCGTTCGTCACTGGGAACCATCACGCAGTTGTCTGTTCCTAGCCCGCAGACAGCGGCGCATGATTTCACCGAATAATGGCACTGTGTGTACGACAAATTGTTATAGCGTTCATGATTCTGCTAAAAGATGAAGCATCTTTTTAAAAATGGGATTATAAACCAAGGAAAGACTATTCTATCGCGAAAGATATATTTATTTCTGAACTGAAAATATGTGAAAATTCTTTCCTAGGAGATTTCTTTTTTTTTTTCTTTTTAATGCTCAACACACTATTGCGAATTGTGAATCAGAACTTTGTGATAGTGAACTGAAGATAAAATGAGATGTATCCCAAGAAATAAGAAGATATATCAAGAAAGAAGAATAGAAAGCTAGAGTATTCTACAGAAGAGTGAAGAAATACACAGAAAATATCGTAAGTAGAAGAAAGTGTACCTGGTCAGACGTGAACATGACCAGCTGTCCCCCGATAGCAGCGAGGCCTCGTTCCTTGTAAGCAGGGAACATTTTGTGTCTAGCAGCGAGAAAAGCATAGAGATTGCTGATAGAACCTCCCGGTGCAAGAATGGAGTCGCCACCGCTCCAGCCGATGAGCTCTCGCATCTTTTGAAGCACCACGTGCTCCATCAAAATGAATACCGGCGCGATCTCGTAGGTGAACATGTTCGTGTTCGCCGTCGCTGTCAGCCATTCGCCAGCCATCGAGACAAGATCGAGACCGCACGATAATTGGTTGAAGAAATGGGGATGCCCTGAAAAAGGTCACGAAGTAGAAAGGAGGAATTATTATATTAGCTCAAATATTATTATATTATAATATTAATATTATTATATTATAATATTAATATTAATATTATTATATTGTAATATTAATATTAATATTATTATATTGTAATATTAATATTAATATTATTATATTGTAATATTAATATTAATATTATTATATTGTAATATTAATATTAATATTATTATATTGTAATATTAATATTAATATTATTATATTGTAATATTAATATTAATATTATTATATTATAATATTAATAATTATTAGCTCAAATATTATATTAATATTATTATATTATTAATATTATTATATTATATATAAATAAATTATATTATTATATTATAAATAATATTAATATTATTATATTATAATATTAACTACTACAGTTTAAATATTTACGTATTTTAGAGCATTGTGCTAAAAATTTCTCACAATTGAATAAGCATCCTCGATAATTACGCAGCATTAATCTTGTCTAAAAGTGTTCGCATCATCCTACTTATTTGCAAAATCCTGAAACTCGTTGATGTAACAGATACAATAGTTTCAGCGTTGACAATTGGACAGTGGAACAGCAATTCTCGGAACAAATGTGTGCGTTGAGTTCACGAAACGAGTCCTTTCGCCATGATTCGGCATTCGGGATTAATCGTTTTTGCTATAAATCAAGCCGACGTCCTAATTCCTTTAAAATCGTGATTGCTCGAAGACGGCGTTTAATGGCGGGGTAATTAATAACACCGACGTGGCACGTGGCCAAAAATTGCACAGCACAACATTCGTGGCATGGAACAGCGAGGTTGGACGTTAAAGGCACGCGGATGGAAAGAGCGGGAAGAGAGCTTTAAGCTGCTCGCTGAGTACGTTGTCATCCGCTCTGCTGAACATCGCGCCAGGATCAGGGTTAATGCTTCTGTTCGATGGGAGTCTGCCTTCTGATGCCACTAGGGGAGCAAGTGTTCGGATCCTACTGTTTCTCGTACGTGAAGTATGCAGCTACATTTCTCTGTCGAGATTTGTATCTCGTCTTTCTAGCTAACAGATTATTTTATTTCGAGTCTGCCAACTCTGTCAATATTTCTTTTATTTATTTATTAGAAAATGAATTATTTTAACAGACACAAGTTTCAAGGTACCAGTCTTCCAGTATTGTATCTATACAGAATCATAGTTACGCTAAATCAAATACCGTAGTGTAGTTTCAGGAATCTATTCTCGAGATTCCAAGAGTGCTTTCGTGAACAGGGCACGCGTGGAAATTGTTTCGATGCAGACGATGATAATTTGCTCGGTTTCGCGGTGAGATGAGAAAACAGTGGAACGCGTGGTCATTAAGTAGATATGGAACGTGCGTGGTCAGGCACAAAGTAAAATTGCTATACGAGGCTTTTATTATCCAACAATAACTTTCTACGCTGTAACAAGTGTTCTAAATTAATTAAGAATTGTTATTGAGCTTAACAGAAAGAAAAATAAATTAGGTAAGAACTAAAAAAGAAGATAAGTTAGGATTATAAAAGGACTTGTTCAAATTTTGGGATTGTAGAACAGGTTGAGGAGTAAAAAGAAAAATGGAAGGAATTTTTTTCCTTTTTTAGCGGTGGATGTTATTTTTGCTCGCGAAATTTATGTCCATATGACGCAGGATTTTTTCCCACCCTCGAAACCTATATCCTATCACTCTCTAAAATAACGTAGATCCCTTGATCCCGAGAATTGATGGATTCACTCCATTGAATATCCGGCCACGAAAAGACTTTTTCCCCCGGGTGCGCGATAACCTTTGATAACCAACGAACATACTCGGAAAGTGTCCTGGGTGGAACCACCAGAGTCGCGTTACGTTTTCCAGAAAATATCGTTCCTTTAGTATTAAGACGCGAATGAGAATTTCTAGGGTGGCCATTTTAATCTCACGGTATTACGTAGTGATTGACGTATGACGCCAGTCTATCAGGGGCTAAGTTCTCCCCTTGACACGTCTGTAGTGAAGAGTCGAACAAAACTATTCGAAACTGTTCGTGAAATTACTAACAAATATCTGCAAATTTAGCAAAAGAACGCTGTTTTCAATTTCTGACAATTATTTAACAGAGATCTAGCAAAAATGCGACGATAATAAATAACAGCGACATAAAAGATAACGAGTGCTTGCAATTTTTAACAAAAAGAATTCGATCTTTCTATTATTTAAATTTCCAAAAGATACCTAAATAATTTCCGATCAGCAACATCACCGATCATTCAAGTACCCAAAACTGCTTGCACCTAGTATACCCATCAGCGAAACAGGGACCATGAGTATATATATATATATCAACAGAAAAGTCTCCACCCTGAAAACGCGATATCAGGCAGCGGTATCAGAGCCGTTTGTCGCAGTGTTATTCGCAATTATCTTGGTCCGTGGAACGTGGCACGCGTCCGGTTCTGGGGGCTGTGCAACAAGACGTCTCCCTTTCTCTGTCTCTCCCCCGACTTTTTCCAAGAGCATCGAGCTCCGGCGGTTCAGCCGAGGGTGGAGGAGGGTCGATGGTCCGAGGAGCCCGCATTTTGCGCGTCACACGCGTCGCTGCGCGACTAGATTGTTTGCAGAGGCTCTCAAACTGACGTACAACACGGGAAAAACAAACTATTTCGGCTGGCTGGCGAGATAAGTCGATCTACACTACGGGAGCCGCGAGTACGACCAGACTCCGCGAGTTTGTCCATTCGGACAAATTGAGAAAGTTCCAACTGTTTCAACTGTTCTCTCGTCAAATGAACGTGGAAAATGAATTCGGTGGAGAGTTCACGGGAGAAGATTGAACGAGCTTGGTTAAAGTTTCCCATTCGCGAGTGGGAAATATTTTAGGGATCTATGTAGTAGGTTGTCTAATACGTCTGGTTGCAGGTTTTTCAAGAGGACGTTGTCGATTGTTACTCTTGTGTAAAATTTACTCGTTCTTCGCGAGATCAGAAGAATCAGTTTTTGGTTTTTTTAAACCATGTGACGATTTTCAGAAAGATGTGGAACGACGATGAAACGTTCGAAGCAGTTGACGTGTGTTTCGTTTGCGTAGTTTATGAAAAGATGAAGAAACAAACAAGCGAGAGTGCAACGTGCGGATCGAGATAAGCTGGGCAGGTTGGCGTGATTATGCAGATTTAAGGGTATGTTAATTCTGCAGGAAGCTGCAGGGATTTCCAAGCCAGATCCCCTTAGACTGGTTTCCATTGCCGCGAGGTAATAGCAAAATTGACGGTGCCCTTTTAAAACTAATGGAGGGTGATTTTTTTTTTAACACCCTCGCTTAAATTGCATTTTTATATCAATTTCATCGTATTAAGCGTGATCGTGATCACAAAATTATTGTATTTCAATCACAAGAATATATCGAGGAAGATATATTACGGTGATGGAAATAATTAATAAATCTCATGATTTCTGAGGTTGATACAAGAGAAGCTGAAATGATATTTGTACGTCTGGCACGGTAGACTCTACGATTCGTTTCTTTCACTAGGTTGCTCTTACGAGCAATTACAAACGTCGGAGGGTATCGTTTCCCGACTAATTTGCTCTTTTTCCCCGCGTGGTAGGGAACAAGTTCCAGCGTGGAGAACCTGCTCAACACAGATCTTGGTAATATATTACAGAGCTTAGGATTCGTATGAAGAGAAGTGTGTAACCCTGGCTTAACGTTAATGCCGTGCAATCAATCATACCTCGCTAGAAAGAAAGAAAACATTTCCAACGTGGTCTTGAACTTGCAGTTAAATAACGATGGAAGGGAACGTATTTCGTGAATAGCGCTGAGTGTTTTATAAATTTTAAAGACTATTGGGAAGGAAACAGCAAGCTACGAGACAAAGGAATGTCTTTTGAATTAAAATATTTAGTATTCACGTCCTAATTGTAACATTTATGAAAATTTCGTTCAGCTTCAACGCGACTGCAAAGAAAATAGAGTATTAAAATTAAAATTTACACGGCGTGAAAAATTTCCTCTTTTTTGATATTCGAACAGTTATGATTTCCAGGCGCGTGAATTCCATTCTTGCCCCCCTCCCTCCCTCGTCGATTGAATGACGTAACAATTTCTGCATTCCATGACGAAACGATTTCTACATTCCACGGCCAGTTATCGATACCAATTTAAATTCCAATGGGCGCGCCCGATTCTCTCGCGTCGAAAGTTCGCGAAGGGTTCAACCATGTGCGGCCCCGTAGCTACCCCCGCTTGCTCGCCCCTATTTACTATTTCCCTCGACCCCAGCCAGGGAAAATCGTGTAGAAATGGCTCTTAATTACACCGATCCTATTGAATTCACCACCCTGCGCAGTGGTGCCACGTGCACTAACGCTACAACCGTGTGTTTTTCCATGGTCAAAGTTTGTATTGTTCTTGCCATTCCTTTTTTTCTTTTTTTGGGGGGAGGGGTCACCCGTTCTCGAATTCCGACGGGTTTTTTTCGAGAAAAAAAAAAACTATTGTGACGTCGATCCACTTCAAATGGAATCTCGACCGAGAATTCTCGATCAGAAATTGGAAATATTTTTGTTTGTTAATCCTTAATCCTTTGATGTAGCTGAGAATTTAAACTGAACGATTTAGACAAAATAATTTCTACATTTCTGCTGTCAGATTTAAAAACAATACATACTTCCGGTAAGTAATTTTCAATTAGCTATTACCACGATGTCGAAACGTTCTTTGCGCATGTGCAATGTTTTCTAGGTCGACACAACTACATTAAATATCTATTTTAAATATCGATGAAGCATCTCTTGAAGGAAATAATGCTTCCCTTTAGTTTTACAATTAGACCTTGGAAATTCCCAATCTTCGTGGGTGTATAGCAACACTCTGTATCGACGATGTATCGTCTTCGATAAACACGAATCAATCACGTCGATACACTGCCTCTACCGCACTCAATCAAAATCTTCCCACGTACCTTGGTATTAATCAATATTCCTTTAGTGGTAAGATACGAAATAATTGAAGTTTCAAACTTATTTATTTTTTAATTTATATAAACTCGATCCATTTCCCTTTTCTACACACTTCACATTAAATCCATCCCTTACAACGTGAAAACGTATATTTAATTTAGTTTCTGATAAATTCAATAAATACTGTGCTGCAAAACCAGCTGATCTAAATTCCCCAAAAATTCTTCCATAAATAATTTTCACACTTAAGACTTTACGTTCTTTTCAACAATTCCCAATATCTTTATCCTTTTTTATAGTGTCATATTTCAAAAGACTATCGATGCTCTTATCATTCGCCACCCCAAAAAATATTTTTCAGCGTATCTACAATCTATGGCAGAAGGGACGATAGTTCCTTTTCTTTTTTACAGTTTCGATGGCAGAGATCTATGCTATCAAGAGGGAATCTTCCATGGAATATAATCTAATAACGACTTTTTGTCAGCACGTATACACGGTGCACGCGTCCTTTTATACACAGGGGTGGCTCGTCATTCACCCTGTCCACGATCCTTTGCATCGATATTCGCTACCAGACAAGCTTGATTTCTAGCCTAAGTTCGGTTAGCCCTCTTCCATTGTGCATTAGCATCTATTCAAGCTGGTAATCGAATTCTACCGAGATAGCAAACTTTCGCGGGGGATTTGCGGTTGACTTTTGGCATTTCCTCCACCGACAGATTCTATAGACACACCAAACCACTACTGGATTAATACTTCGGTGTGCAATTCTACGACTGTGTTAGTTGTGAATTTTCAAATTTAATTTTGAAGTTAAAATCACGAGAAAAAATTAAATATTTCAACGAACAACAGACCGCTTTTCAAGGATCAGGTAGGTGAATACTTTTGTATACAATTTAGCAATTGCGCTGATTATAAATTAAGGGGGTTCGAAAATTTTTAACCTTGAACCTTGGGATTTAAATTCGATGTAAAATTTAAACACTTTGACGAATGATAGATTTTCCAAACTGTATACAATTAGAGTAATTCTTTCGTGTAAAGTTCTATGATCGTAGTGAATCCTGAAATAGCTCAGTGTAGATTTTAGCTTTGTGTGTGCTCCTTTTCAATTTCTAAGAAACGTATAAACCTTAATTCTCGAGAATAGAAATGTAATTTCTAAAGCTTCTGTCTCACGGCATTTATGCGAAACTTTATGCAACTCGGAGAATGGTAGCTAAGATGGTGCAAGCAGATAACGCACGGTTTTTTTATTTCAGTTAGCAGCAACCCCTCGCTCATTTATCACGTGCACGAGGGCAACGTGTATATTTCGAGGGGGGGTTATAGCCGACGGAAATACTGGAAGTGTCTCTGGCTACCTTATCTCCGCTTTCGAGAGCGCGTATGCTAAATTGAATATGAAATTACGTGGCTTATCGCCCTTCTAAATGCAAGGAAATGCGATAGGACAGTGTTAAGCGATTCCCTGCTAGACATCATTTTCAATTTTGCTTTTCGGTTTCTCCCTCGTCGACTTTCGCCTTTTGTTTTCGCTTTAGAAATTTACAAATATTCATAACAGAACGTATCTATTTTCTTAATAACCTGATTATTTATTTTCTTTTTAATTAGCAAGGTAAATTAACGCCGACTCACCGGTTTTTACTTGATACTTCAGAGTGGTAGAGCAATCGATGAGAAGTTGCTGAAGTGTCAAACCGGTGTCGGGAATTTCGAGATCCAGGAGACGCATCATTTCGGAGGGATGATGGAAATCGAGTATCTTCGCGTTTCTGTCGTTCGTGGACTTGATGAAATCCAATAAAATGTCCACCACTTTCATCAGGAATTCCCTGGTTGCTGGATAACCTTCGACATTGTGCGGCAGGATATCTGAGAGCAACAAAATTCGATACTTCAGTAACAGGTGTTTCAACTATCCTTTGGATTTCTACGTCTTTCTTCTTAGAGCATATCGATTCTGTAAAACATTGTTCCCTTAGTATCTTCAGCGTGTAAAATTACTGCTTCTAAACGAAATTCATTCTACTCTTAATTCCTCTTTTCCTTTATTTTGAATAGAGAACATTTCGTTTCGGAATCTCTTACAATTTCAACGATATTCCAAGTCGACAATTCGTCGTGAATCGTTAGAATTTTACAATTCGAAGATATTAAGATAACAAGAAGTTCTCGAACGATACTGGCATACGACGCAAGTCAGGATAATTTCAATCGAATTCAAGCCACAGTGGTGGCTTATAAATAGTCTACTGGTGACTCTCTAATTGTTATAATCAAGTGAAATCTCTTCTACGACAGCGACACCGATCGATTTTTGATACCGTTTTTATCGAGCGTCCGTCTTTTCGTCGGCGCTCCGTCGTTTCGACCTACCGCCGGCTCTTCCTCGCAGAAAACGTCAACTATTAGAATGATTTCACCTCATCAAACAATTGAAAGTATAGACCTATATTGACACACTCTCACTTGTTTGGTGGGATGACACCATCTCACATCGTCGTCGTCTCTTCATCATCTTCGTCCTCTTCCTCTTCATCTTACTTCATCGGTAACGAGTGACTCGTTTCGCTATTCAGAAGCCTTCGTGCAACTACTCATACCAGACGAAAACGCATGCAACAACACAGCACGAGAACCCAGCAGAAATTTATTTTTCAAATATAGCGTAGATAGAGAGTGATAAAACATTACGTCGCGTAATCTAGAGGATTAAAATTTGATTTTCGTTGGAATTTCAAGTGCAAACTCTTTTGTCCCGTGGGAGTAATTTTTAGCGATGCTTTGACGGAGAAAACTATTTACGATTGAACGTTCCAATGTGCTCGTGGTAAATCCTTGGTAGATTGAACTGTCCTTTAGTCGTTGGGTAACCATAAAGTATCCTCTGGAATAAACCACCCTTCGTTTCCCCATTGCATTAAGAAGATCCCGTGGATAAACAGACCAGAGACTCGCCAGTATTTATGTTTTAAACTTGCTATTCTTCTATTCATCCGAGTAGAAAGAGAATTACTGAATGCTTTTTAGTAAGATACGAATATGAACTATAAAGAAATTTAATGAAATGTAAAAGAGAACTATTCAATAATCAAACTCTCAATATTAACTCTCAAATAATGGTGCTTCGTTCGAAAACTGAGATCTTCAGGTAAATTTCGATGCAAAGAGGAGTTCTGCTAAAGAGAGTACAAGTGTATTTTTCAATAATCACAACGTAGGATGAATAAGAATCGAATGGGGAAAAGAAGGGAGCGTGGAACCTTATGGTGAGTCGTTCTGAGCCCATGGTTAGACAAGAGAAATCCCTGGCTTCCAGGGGCTCTGCTTCGGCTAATCCAGCTCTATCAATCTAACGTCCGAAAATAAGACCGTCGGAATCTTCCTTTTTTCGAGCTTTGCAACACTTTCTACCGTGATCAGACCGAGTGTTATTCGATCGATAAATGTGGAAGCGGCGTACATAAATGGGAATTAAAGTTGATAGTTATTGTTGAATCGTGCAAGGGAACGAAGCGTTCGAATGCATGCTGTTTCGACTGACCGAATTACGAATAGATTCTAGCTTGAACTCGTACGTCGTTTGGCACCAGATGCACCGTACCCTATTCGTGGCTTTAATCAAAGCGCCTTTCAGGGGTTGTTACACGCGGTAATTAGTTCCAGCGATTTATAAGCGGGATTATTGGGTTAATTTATAGCAACGAGTCGGAAGAAACTCCATGTTGAGAATTCTCCTTCGAAACATTTCCAGACAGTCAAAATCTTGTCAAAATTTTTTGACACTTTGACGAATCTCTATCTTAGTCAGCTTGTCTCTCAAAATCTTTAAAACTCTTCAGTTTCAAGTCGACTCGTTTTTTTTTTTTTTTTTTTTTTTATTATAAAGAAGATAACCGTTTTTTAAAATTTTCTTTTTTCTTTTTTTTTTTTATCTCGGAAGCTATTCTTATCGGTATCTAACACTTGGCAGAGTGTAAACAGGTTCCCTACAAACAAACCCTTCCGCCCTTTCTGCGGCGTGTAATCTGTCCTCAGCCACTCGGCGCCTATGAGCCTCTTCAGGCCAATTCTAAATCCTCTATTATTATGCACCCTTCCGAGCCTCGCGGAATCAGGACAATATTGTGACTCCCGGATTTCATTCTCGAGAAGCCAAGGCTGCCTGCGTGGCCGGGAGAAAACGCGCGAGAAAATACACCGATAGGAATGATAATTTGCTTGGATTTAGGGCGTCTGCAGGCAAACAGTGGAATACCGGGCAAGTAGATACGGAGCGTACGTGATCGGACGTCGGGCGTAAACTTACTGTACGAGATTCTAGCACCTGTCGTGCAACAGATTGGCATTTGTTATCACATTTTCAGCTGAAAGCAGCGACATTAACGTACACTCTGTTCTAATTTGTCGAGTAATTGGAAGAAAATGGGAAATATATTGAAGGAACTACTTACAGCTAGTTCTATGTTAGAACTTGGCGCAAAATTTGCGAATGACAAAGCATACTGCAACGAACAGAAAGATGCTGCAAAGCGTATTTTAGTAAATAACATACCCGAATATTTCAAGTTACAGTGCTCCCTGGAGAGCGAGTACGTGTTTTCGGAGCTCATCAGTCTGGTCGGTGAGTGGGTCCGGGCGAAATTCTGAAATTCACAAATGAGAATCTGTACTGGTGTTTGCAGAGCATTGCAGAAACGTTGTATCGCGTAACATTCACCACAGAAATTACTGACATTTCGCAGAGTAATCTCGTCGGATCAAGTGCGAGTCTAAGGATACCTGGTCGGCGAGCAAAACTCGCAGTAGTAAAAGCTCGTCAGATGTACGGATGCATCTGTTCTCAGGCAACGATCATAAAAGTAAACATGTTTCTTACAAAGAAAGAATAATACAGAAGGAAGCAAAGAAACAGAGTAATAGAACAGCCACGGCTGGCGTAGCGGCAAACACGATCACAAAATGAAGAGAAACAGAGATAGATAGATAGATAGATAGATAGAAATAGAGAGAGATAGAAAAATGAATGACGTGCAGCGAGATGGGAATGCCTTACATATAAGTATTCCTTGATCGCTGTGATTTTAGTGCCGATCATTTGCACATTGTCCATGTCTCTGCTTGTGCCCCTCGCCTCAGTCCCTACAACAATCAACAACAGTGTCCGCTTCAGTGTCGAGCTTGCCGAGCAACACAGTTTTCGCGCTTCTTTCTCGTATCTTTTCTATTATCCAGAGCGAGAGCCTGACAGAAATTGCACAACTGCGAAGCGAGAATCATTATTTAAAAAAAAAAAAAAAAGGAAAAAAAAAAGAGAAAAGTAAACGAACGAAAATCATTTTCATCGAAGTCGACGAAAAGAAAAAGAGGGATTTCACCTCAGCCAGGAAGAGGTTGGCTCCTGATTCGAAAGCGCACTCGTTGCGCAATCCTCTCCGTCGAAGGAGGCACGATCGACTCGAGTCGTTCGAGTCGTTCGTAAGAAGAGACCGTCGCGCGTGATTCGATGCACTTAAAATACTTTGTACAGCGTATTATTGTACATTGTCTTTCGCGGGACCAGCGAAACGCAAAACTCACGAATCGTTAACCTCTCTCGACCGAGGGGCTCGTGGCGGCTGGATTCGTTTGTTTCTGCTGGATTTGCTCGAGATGAGCCGGTCGCGTCGTGCAGCGTACGCGCAGCAATCCGTAAGGTAGCCAGCCGTTCGTCGAATGCACCGGTCTGTTGTTCTTTCTGTTGTCGACCGCCTCGCGTTGCGCTTGCAGCCGGTGCAGCATCGCGCCGGCGACGAGCGCCGAGATGACCGCCGAAAGAGCCACGACGATGAACAGAGCGCTGAAACCGGGCATAGGCAGGCAGATACCATAGACTACTTCCTCGCGTATTCTACCTTGAAACACCGTTACCGCCTCCGCGTGAGTATCCGGGCTGAAGGCTAGATCAGCCTCGGAGATCACCTCGTACAAACCGCTCACGCCGACGTCGGCGCTACGGATTTTCCTGTCGGACACCACGACCGATCTCTTTCGTCTGCCATTCGGAGACGAGAGAGGTGTCACCGGTATCGCGCCGCTGTTCCCCTCGAGATTCCGTGGTCCGTGCGGGAACTGATCCTGGTCGCTCTCGTATCGCGTCATCCGCGGAGGATCCTGAAAACGGATGTGTCCTAAGCGTCAAAGTGTCACGAGTGGGAACGTGGCTCGCCGACTTGTTAACGTGGAAAATATCCACGATAACGTAAATATGTACAACGAGATATGTCGAAAATGAAGAGTTACTCGTAACATCTCCTCCAGTCGTTTCTTTAACCCCCTTGACATACGAATTAAATTCAAATTTGATATTAACGATATTTATACTTCATTTGCGTAAGTTTAACAAGGATCATTCTTACCACTCTGATGTTCATACTGCAAAATGTCACGATACTTATAAACAAAATTCATAAAGAATAATGACAGAACAGATTAATAATTCAATATAGTCTCCCAGAGACTTGTGTTCAAAGATACGAAACTTTTTGGAAAATAAGTAACAACGAGATATACTTACAACGAACGGTCTTGAAAGATCAGTGTCGTCTAGATGAACTTCCTCGTTCGGTGTCTCGATTACTGGCGCCGGTAGCCGGTTGCTCGTCTGTGCCTGCGCCTTTGGAGCTGATTTCTCGACCCCGAGGAAGTGACCCCCTATCGAGGTCATTTCATCACCATCTTGAATGATGTCGTCGTAAAGGGAGCCGTCGCTCTGCTCGGTCCCAGCTCCTCCTACGTTTTCGTTACTCTTGTCGGCGCTGTTGTTATCGTCGTCGTTGTTGCTGTTGTGAACGGTGGGCGGCACTGTGGTTTGCGGGTACTGCGGTCGTATCTGATCCTTCCGCTCTTGAATATAGTGGCCGACGGATCCGCTGAGCTGACAGTGATCCAAACAGCCGTGACGACAGATCTCAACCTTGACATTGATCGAAACAACTTATCGCACTGACGTTTCTCTCCCCCCCCCCTCTCTCTCCTCTCACCCACTCCCCTTCTTTCTTTTCTAATTGCAAGTACGTAGTTTGCACAACGAATAGCCAAATCACTCAACGTTCATTCGCGACCATTTACCGAGTAAATTCATCAAGCCGCTCGTTTAGCTGTTTAATCGTAAATATTTGCTCTTTGCTTTGGCGGACACCTCTCCGGTTTTAACGGAAGGTGCGCGACAAAGTACCTCGCGCCGCGCGCGTAATCGCACATTCAGCCGCCGGTAATCTCGCGATTCCCGATCGCAAGCTGCTTTAACCGCCGTGTATTATTACCCAACGTCGTTTACCTTGCACTTGATGTGCACGCTCAACGCGTCCGGGAACTTGAACGCGTGGAAGAAGGCGTAGGTAATGACCGTCGCCCGATCGTCGGAGCCCCGCGCCTTCAAGAATCGGCTGATCATCTTTGGCCTGAGCACGCACCCGAACTCGTCGCTCAGCTGTATCGTGTGTCCACCGCCGTCCGAGGCCACGCACGACTTGACACGCATGTCGAACTCCCCTGTGCCGAATTTAATTGCGAGATTTAATTAATTAACGAACGATCGTTTATTGTTCGATGCAACGAACGATAAATTATGTTCGAATCGTGTCGTTATACTATGAAGTGAAGTGAAGCGAAGTTTGGTGTGAAGTGTTTCTGCAAAGTCGAATGGCTGCTCGCCGTTATCGTTACCTCGATAATCGTTTATAGCGACGACCAGGGTGAGAGTCGAGCCGAGCGGCACTATCCCGGAAACTGGCGGTGCCCAGGGTCCCTTGCCGTGTTGGATCTCCATCCAGCAATCCACGTTGTCACCTGCAATACCGATAAAAACCGATAAAAAGATAGTCGCAGTGCTGATGCGTTTGATACCCGAGTTTCCACGCGGTTTGTTGCCTCGCGCATTTCTCTAGGCGCGACGTGTCAGCCGCGATTTATACGCGTTGCATAAAGCGAAGTTAAGTGGCGTGGCTGCGGTCCTACCTGTGGTTAACCGCCGCTGCACGAGTTACCGCGCACCGTCGCGATCATTTACCTCGAATTAAACTCTTTTCACGGAAGGGTTATCGTTATTTTAAGTCTGTATTCGTCGTGCTGGAAATTTATCATCGTTTATTGACGTGGACAATCATATCGAATCAATGTCGACAGACACGTCGAAACTTACTTACGATGTCAACGATATCGTCACATTTGTGCCAATCAAATTGTGAATATCAACGCTTGCGTACGTAGAGTAGAAAACCATACCTCTGAAGTCTAGCTGTATCACGTCGAGATCTGCGATGACCATCGGCGGTTTCGAGGCGGTCTTCTCGTAATCGTTGAACCACTCGCATCGCAACCGTTTCGCCTCGTCCCAGACCTCGAGTAAATCCTTGTCGTACTGAACGACAACGGTATTCTCATAGAACTGTCCGTGCATGTCTGGCTTGGTACCGCACCTACGATCAAACGAGTAAAGATCTAGACTCGAGCATTCGTCAATTCATTAACGAACTTGGTGTTCATTTACGTACATATGTATGTAACGAACAACGTCCGTCCGTTGTCGGACGTTCATTTTCAGAAACCATCGAAATACGCGCGCGAGACTCCATTCGAGAATCGAGATTAACCGTCCGTCAAATAACTTCCAGTTAAAGCCAAAATCGTTTGTCCAATTATCCTTTATCGCGGCTACGTAAGCCATAAGTTCCAATTAAAGTCATAACTTAGCAATCCTCGGGCGCGCGGGACAAACTACGATGATACGATCGATCTCTCGTGCATTAACGTTTCCGCGCGCGTTAAACCCCCTAAATCGAGTCGCGTGCTGCCGCGCCAACGAAACAGCTTGCCCATGAAGATCGCTTTCACGGATAGACACGGTTCGATGGACGCGAGAACGCCCATACGTACGTAAAATACGTTTTCTCGCGCGGCGGAGCAATCTTACCTCGCGTAGGCTATCCGAAAGGAGAAGAAAGTCTGGCCGGTGGACGGTGGAACGTAGACGCATCGCGGGTCGGCGTGCTGGCCTTTCGACGAGACGATGCCCTCAAAGGGTTGGGAGAACGATAGATGCACGTCCATGTGATCCTTTCCGCACATCACTTCGAGGGACTGTATGGCTGGCATTCCCTCTGGCCTTTCTAGCGGCCAAATGTCGCTATTGCTACCGACGCTCTTCAAGCCAACCACCTGTGCATTCAACCAATACGTTTTTACTACACATTGAACTCTGCCTGAACCTCTCGTTTCCCCCTCACTGCCCTTGCAAGTGCTCTTTTGTGAACGTTCGTCCCGAACTTTTCCGAAAAATTGTTGCCGCGTAACTCGTTTCGGTGCAAAAATTGTGTGAGTCGAGAAAGTTAATCGTGGAAGAGAAGGGTAAAGTAAAATTCTGTGAAATGCAATCGGTATTAGAGCGCTGTATCATCAGAATAGAATCTCTGCTGGTAGTAGATGATCTATACTGTTCTGACAATATAACATTCGAATATTTAAAATATTACTGCAGTATAAAAAGACGCTACATCTCTTTCATACTATGTAATTAATGGAAAGTTACACCTTGTACCACTTCTGCAGTGGAAAAAAATAAAATAAAGCTTAAGTTTAATTCATAGTACGGTTAATATTATGTCGAGATTTATTACAATTTATATTTGCATCTGATGGAAATGATGTGAGTGGAGAAAATTAATTGTCAGAGAAGGGTGAAATAAAATTCTGTGAAATGCAATTGGTATTAAAGTGCTATATCACCAGATAGAATAGAATCTCTGCTGGTGGTAGATGATCTACACTGTTCTAACAATATAACATTTGAATGTTAAAATATTACTGCAGTATAAAAAGACGCTACATCTCTTTCATACTATGTAATTAATGGAAAGTTACACCTTGTACCACTTCTGTAGTGATGAAAAATAAAATAAAGCTTAAGTTTAATTCATAGTACGGTTAATATTATGTCGAGATTTATTACAAGCAAGACGAATTTATGTTTTCATCTGATGGAGATGATGTGAGTGGAGAAAATTAATTGTCGGAGAAGGGTGAAATAAAATTCTGTGAAATGCAATTGGTATTAGAGTACTATATCACTAAAATAAAATCTCTGCTGGTGGTAAATGATTTATACTGTTCTGATAATATAACATCCGAATGTTAAAATATTACTGTAATATAAAAAGATGTTACATCTCTTTCATACTATGTAATTAATGGAAACCTTGTACCACTTCTGCAGTGATGAAAAATAAAATAAAGCTCAAGTTTATGATTAAGATTAATTCATAGTACGGTTAATATCATGTTGAGATTTATTACAAGCGAGACGAATTTATATTTGCATCTGATGGAAATGTTGTTTAAATATTATTGCCATGTACAAACTTACGAAGAGTAATTATGAATCTACCTGTGAGATAGTCACCTATTGCTTTCGATACAGGTTTAATCACGCGGAAACTATTAATCATCCAAGTAAGGTGGCACTTGGCGCTGATTTTTCATTGTTAGATTAGTTTAACGGTATCTTATTTTATCTTATACGCTGATTTATTAGAAAGTACGTTGGAAAAGCTGAGAAATTTCGCCGAGCATGTGGCTGATTGTGTCGTAGAAATTGCGTCGAGTACTCGCGTAAATTAAAGTTATTAAACGCGTGTTGCGAACGCGTTAACACAAGGTGGAGTTTATTATCTTAATCACGTGTATCCTGTACCGCTTTATATTCACGTTTCTTCCTCTTAAACGAGATGCAGTAAATATTTAATTACTTGAATGACCGTACAATTAGATTTAATGAACTCTTCTAACGATCGTTAGTTACGTTCCTCGTGTTACTCTCGATTTACGGCCTAACCCAAGAAGTTACATTTTCGCTCAAGTGTTGACTTTGTGGAGCGATCACTGCACGTTTCAAAATTAGCTAAATGATTTTGACAATAGAGCGCGCCAATGTTAAAGAAATTTGGAATAATGGAACGGCAAGAGTTGCGGTATAGTTACCTAGATACATAACCGTTATGAAATTTTTACACTCCAAGTTATGCTCTGATAATTAATAGAGCAATATCGTGAATGTTACAAGCGGGAAAAAGCCAAAAATCGTTTACAGGAAAGTAGAAATCGAGAAATCTCTGACGCGCACGTCGCGTCGCATAGCGATCCGGAACTGGAATAATCGCGAACTAAATTCATAGCATCGTTGCTTATATATTATTCTTTATAAAACGAAGACTGTAGGTGAAACATTTGTTTTTATAAAATAAATTATCTTTATGTCGATATTATCAATAATTTATAGTTCGTCAAGAGTTTGAATTTAGTTCATGTTTTGATGCATTTGGATCATCGACGCACGCTTGCAAGGGAATTCCATCTTCATCCATTCTATGCACGCGAAACGTTCATTTAATTATCGCTCGTTTGTCGTTCGTAGAATTTGCGATCGTGGAGAAATGGCTGGAAGTGTAATTTGCGCTAAATAATCGTAATGGCATAGTCGTCGCCATAGCTAGTTGAAAATAAAGATACGCGAAAATGCGAAATTATATCGTTATCGGGAAACGTGTCAGAGAGGCCTGTAACCGTGGAAAGGCAATTTTGCTCGATGATGTTGCACAGCCGTGGATTTACGTTCGTGAGAAATTCATTAGTAACAGCGATTTCAAAGATCGTAAATCCCTTCGATCGATCATTTCGCTAGATCGTAAAGTACACGTTGCACAACCTTCACTGACCTACATGATTACGCGATGGTTCTTGAGCAGGTGTATGAACGATCGTAACTCGGCGATTCACGACAGGATACCTTCGTGTACATAAACGTTGGGCGCAATAAAAGAGTAGAGATCGTTCCTGTAGCGGTTGCTAAATATCTGTTGAAAGGTATCTCGGATGTTTCTCGTGAATTAAGATTGTAGACATCGGTACTTAACTATCGCATTTCATTCATTCAAAAGTGATTATTGAAAATTTTATTATCGAACTGTACTTAGCGAGAAGTTGTGTGGAGGAACAAACTTTACTTTAATACATATATATATATTTAAATTACATGAAATTAAAGCAAACAACCAGTGTGATGTTACAAGTACGATTGTTTCATTATCGAAATAAATATACACTTGTAATATCATATTGATTACTTGCTTCAATTTCTGAAACAGTCGACACGTGCAAACAGTTTAATGAAATTACTAACTCGAAATGGCAATGATCCGGCGAGAATTAATTATTTGCACGGCGAAATAAAACTTTCTACCCAAGTTAAAAATATACTTCAACTCTTATTTATTATTTTCACAATTTTTCTTTTGGTGATCATTCCGATTACGAACGAAACGCTACAACGCTGTTCGCTCTTCCATTTGTTGCTTGCGTTTTTTTAATTTTCTGCCTTGTTAAATCGTAATTTAATCGCCAATTGACGGTGCATCTTTCAGCTGTTGCTGTTGTTCCAAGTTTACGAGTTAATAAGATTGTTAACGATCGGAGTTCAGGCGAGCTGACATTGCGTCGAATAGAAACGTGCAAATGAAACTATCGTCAAACGCTCGTAGAAAATACCATCTCGACGTTTGCCTGTTCCACGGTGATCCATACGGCGTGGTGTTTTTCATTGCGAAACGCGGGGATATCCTAGAAATGCCGGGCAGGAAAATCGCGGCACAGCGTGCCAGGCTGCGGGAGATTAGGCGTGTACCATGCCTCCAGTGGATTTCTAGAAATCGCCACCTGGCCAGCCAGCATTCTTCCCGCGTACAGCTTTGGGCGTATGTGCCTTCGTATGTAGCCCCGGTGAATCGCAGAAAATCCCAGCGACACGTACCTACGCGTACCTAAGCGAGCATCTTCGAAGGAAGGTGTTCCCGGCGTGTACACCGTGCTCGCGCAATGCTGGTAACGGGAGAGGCGTCTTTACCGCTGCATTAACGGTCGCCGTTTTTCGCGCAAGTGAAAACAAGTTTCTGTGCTCTTACAATCGCACTGTTAAATGACAACGTTTCATTAGAAATGATTACGCACCTGGTATACACGGCACAGCGCGCGTGCGTATGTACGTGTGCGCTGCGTGGTCTCTCGCGAGCGAGCGAGCCTCGTTTTTCTCCGGGCGTCATTTTGCTTCGCCTTTGGTTCACTCGGTCTCGGTCGCGGTGATCGAGATTCAATCGTCCAGAGCAATTTTTCCACGTCTGTCGTGAACATTGTAGGAAAATGTTGATCGTGCACGATGATCGATGGCAAACGATTGATAGGAAACGAGTTGGGCTGTCTGATAGATAGCCAGGATTTTTAAGTGTAATTCTCTTGTTGGTCGATCGTTACTTTCTAACTAGCGAACCAGTATTAGATAAATTAGAGTTGCAAATGAGAGTGTTGTCTGTTTGCTGAAAGAGTAATGCGATGTTGTGAGTTTGCTGAAAGAGCAAAGAAGAGCTTTGTCGGAAGATATGTTTGAAATGGAAAATTTATTATTATGCTTGTTTCTCGTTAATTGTAAAAATTTTGACAGCCTTTGAGATCCAAGAATCATTGATATCGTTCGTGATTCTATTATGTATTATAATATTATACTATATTTATATATTATAGTTTATAATATATTTAATTTATTTAATAATATATATAATACAGTTGTATATTATAATATTATACTATATTTATATATTTATATATTATAGTTTATAATATATTTAATTTATTTAGTAATATATATAATACAGTTGTATATTATAATATTATACTTAATATTTATATATTTATATATATCATAGTTTATAATATATTTAATTTATTTAATATTTAATATTATTTAATATATATAACATATTTATATATTATAATGTTATATATTTTATTTTTACGTTAATTCTTTTCAAGCAATTATCAATTAATGACATGAAATTAAAATATACAAACTATGCAAGAGTCAGTGAACATATTTCCGTTAAAATCAGAAATAATCGCAAAATAGACATCCAAGTAATTATGCCACGTGAAATTGAAACGCAAACGATAAGAGTCAACGAACGAATATTCCCGTCAAGTCGAAATAGACATCGAACGCGATGAGAAGCATTTTTCTTCGATTCTGTAATCATCATCTGCGCGTTCTGTATCAAAGAGAGGGACAGCTCGAAAGTTGCGAAATGCCGGAGGGTCATCCATCGAGAGAAGACAATGCGTCCGTGTGTGTTTTCGTGAAACGTGAAACGAATGGCAAGCGATATTTGTATCGTGCGCTGAAGCCGGAAGCAATTGGCGGAATATAGGCTTTACGATTCCACGGCAGTTCGTTATAACAGACGAACGTATCAGTATTCCGAGTTACTCGAACGTGAGGCACGCCGGTAGGTGAGTTTCCCACATCGCGGCTCTTCTGGCGTTCGAATACTAATGCTCGTCTCCTCCCCCTCCCTCCCCAACGGTTGTACTCGGATTGTACTCGTCGCGACACACGGAAATAGCTTCCCTCGTATTCGTATTCGTATTCGTTTACGCGGTACTTTCTGCTCGAGACGAGCAACTATTTCTTCGCGTCACGTCCCTTTGAGTGGACGCCAATAAAGACTTCGGTTATCGCTTCGCGTATCACTTCGAAGTTACCGTCTTTAAAACGTTGCGTTGTCTGTCTCTCCGCGCGAAAAGCGACAAAAGCAAACGGTGAACAGTTTTACGCGACTTTTTCTACGGCGCTTCCTCCGAAAAACTGTTATTGCTCGCTTATGGCGTGAACACTCGTTTAGAGGCTAATGGGAAAGCGGACTGCGAAATTTCGACGCGAATGGATCGAATCGAGTACGCTCGAGATCTTGCTTGATTGCGCGTCAATTTGTGCGATGCATTTAATAACGAGAGTAATTAGGGGGAGGGGGGGGGTTAATGATTAAATTCGTTTTATACCCGTAATTTTGTTATTTATTTTCCAGTGTTATTTTCGTAATTTTGTTATTTATGCTATAATTATGTTATATGTTATTAATTTTATTATTCTCGTAATTTTGTTATTTATGCTATAATTATGTTATATGTTATTAATTTTGTTACTCTCGTAATTTTGTTATTTATGCTATAATTATGTTATATATTATTAATTTTGTTATTCCCGTGTTCGTTTTATTCTCGTAATTTTGTTATTTATGTTTCAGTGTAATTACGTAGAAAGAAGCAATGGCAGAGGGAAGTAACGTAGAATAAAGTTGAAGATAAATTCTACGAATGAACAAAACTTTGCCGAGTTGTAATTCAGTTGAACTTGTTTCTTAAAACCATCGAGCATCTTTGGAAATATCGATTTCCCCAACTCGACTCCATTGACTACTTGGATCTATTTTTCATCGTCTCATCTCGCCGCGAAGCTCTCAAAACACGAATTCACATTCGCAAAAAAAAAAAAAAAAAAAAAAAAAAAAAAATCACCCGACGCAAGATTCGAATTGCCCAACGAAAAATGACACGCTGCTCGTCAGTTGGAGGAGATGAAGTTTGAACGGAGCGGATGGAAATCGAACCGAGCAGCTACGTACATACATCCCCGCGACGAATATAGAAATCCACCGGAGCAAGCGCTACGTCGGACGCATGTGTGTACGGAAGCGCATAAATTTCGAAGGGGCAGGCGCGAGGACGATGCATTTCCTGCGCGAAACCGCAATAAGAGATTTCACTCTGCAGACGCAATAAGACGCGTTCGCGGGGGCAATAGGTTGTGCAGGGGTCTTGAATAACTTTCAGAGGAAGCAGGTGCAAAGAGGAGGAGGAAGGGAGAGAGAGAAGAAAAGAGGGGAACGGGGGAAAAGAAGGTCGTAAGATACGCGTAACGGTACCTAGAGTAGGCACGAATATCCGCTTGCAAGCTGTCGCGTCTCTTGCTGCGTCATCGCATTGTCATCCAACTGTGACAAATTTTTCATTAGCCATCGTTTCGTAACGACGTTCATCAGGGACCACGCAGAGTGTCTTCCGACAGAGCTTCGTCTCTCTTCTTCGTCTTCTTCTTTCTTCTCTTTTCTAATTTCTAATTTTCAACAGCACCGTGGCTTCCACCAGCCACGTTTAGGGCCTGGTGTGGCCTGGTACCTGGTAACGCCAGCCCGTTAGCCTTTAATTAAGGGATCTATGAGCAACACCGCGTCAGCAAACACACCAGTTCGCTAAAATTATAGCCCATTATCGGAATTGGTAGCCGTGTGGCTCTGTATGCTCTGCGGCTTAATTGGATTACCGAAGGAACGGCCGGCTGGATAAGAGACAGAATCGCGCGAAGAATCGTGCGAATCGTTGGCACGGTGTAAATGGGCGCGGGATATTGTGCCACACGAGGTGTCCCGACTATGCGTGAGCCGCTGCAATTTAGTAGTATCCGCAACTCGTTTTTCACGTTCACAGTCTAATAACTTGCTTCCCCTCGTCTAATGGTGGCATGCAAATTCGCATACGCGTGTAAACTTTCGGCCGATGCAAGATAATCGACCGAGATTGTTGCACCTTGTTGGTTGTAACTTTCGTAACTATTTGTTTCCTCGATTTTTTCGATTCATTACCGAAGAAACTGATCAAAGCTGGAGACGTTCTCGGTGTTCTTTGCGATGCTCCATCAATTTTTGACAATTGCGTCGCTTGTTCGCACTTTGTTTCCTGCCGATGGAAACTCTGTTCCATCGGCCGTAAATTCCTGCTCGGATCGTAAAGTATTTAACGATCTCCGACAACCGTCTGGAACAGTGTCTGCCGATTCTCTTCGAGCGTTGAAACTTTGATCGTAAGTACGCACGTTACGTGCTAATCCTCGTTTTGCCTTCATTATTCACTCGAGCATGTTCAATAATCGTTCGTACATTATGCGAGAAAGTAACATACTTTCAGTCGGATGTTGCCGAGTCGCCTGGTTTACTGGCTATTTAAACCACTCGATAGCCTTTGAACCGGAAGCTCGACTTGCCTTTATCCGACCTGTTTGTATCCTATCCATTCATCAATGGTCCCGCGAATGCTTCACAAATATATCAATTCTACGCATGTTGACTCAGCGTATGTACAGCGAAGTATTCGCAGAAATATTCGTACTCTTTCGATTCGCTGACGATTCTCTGAACGATTGATATTATTTTATCGAAATTTCCATCAACGACTCGATGTGTACGTTGAAATGATTAGGTTTGATTAATCATCAAATTCATTCTCATCGATGAACATTTCGAAATCTGTGCTACAAAGAGAACACGAATCACTCGATATTAACCGGATAAATAAAACGATGGATACGAATAAAAGATTTTCAGCAAGAAGGAGTTAGATCTAGTTTTTACACACTTTTTGTAGCATATCCTATTGTTTAGCGTAAAAACTTTTATTTATTTAAACCTTCATTAGACCTTTATTTAAAACAAAAAAAAAGAAAATGCGCAACAGATGATCATTTCACAGCATGTTTGAGGTAGTATCCGTGTTTTAATTACTTCTTCGTCGGTTTAGAATTACCCCGAGAACGGAGCTATCGATTTAACGCTTTCAACGTTTAATTAATTAAAGCATTGTATAGATAGTCAGGGATGCTTAGAATTGAAAATTAATTAGCTTTGTTGTCATCAAAAAAATGAATGCATTCTTAATCTGTTCCACACGTTCCACATTTACTGTCAGTCGATTTTTAAATTCAATCAAAGGGTTAAGTGTCCCTGTGACACTGTGCCACTCTGATACGAATTTAATCGCGTATGAACAGCAATCTCGCTGCTATTTTTCTCACCATATAGATCAGCATACGTAGCAACCTCCACACCCCTGGCATCCTGGAGGTCCCAGCCTCTCACGATGAGATACGCTTTCCTGAAAAACGACAAACAATTTTGTCATTAGAGTGTAAACGGTTAATTTATTGTAATCGTATGCGAGCGAGCCGACGAGCAAAAAGGAATTCGCAGCCGGATCTATTTTAATTTTAATTTATCAGACCACCATGGTCTGGCGAGCAAATTAACTGAACACTGTCCGTCAGGTCGCGGTTCGAATCCCAAGGAGGCCTCGGCGTAAAATTGATTTGCCAAGAGAAATCATGGTTATGGGGTTTCCAGCGTACGCGCGCGTTCAATCCGTTCTCGTTGGTATTGGGAATCCGCGACGTTTACGATCAATTTCAGATAAACAAGACTGATTGATTTGCTTACTATCCACCGTCGACAGTTACTTACTTCGTCCTTTTACGATCACGTATTACGTATCGAACCTATTACGATTGGCAGTGAAAACATTCCGCTTTTGAAACTTTACGCACATTTCGTGTATTGTTCAATAAAATTCTTAACTATTTCGCTACGACAGTCCGACGCCGGCTACAGTTAGCAGCGAAAGGATTAAGAATTTTACAATTACAATAAGAATTTTTGTAGAAAAAACTAAGAAAGATTTTTTTCATTCCAACAATTTCTTATCGCGTGAGAAATATCGTTCCAACTGTCTGAATTGAAAACGATCGTCTTGACGGATAAATCCGGCGCTCGTAACGAAACGGTTGATTTAGTTGAATTTTATTATATCACGGAGAATGTAAAAATCAAATAAAATTCTAGTCATCTCATAATCGTAAATTACCATGATCATCTACAGATAATTCATCGACATTCATAGTACTTAACGTAGCTTGTACATAATACATTCGATATATGTACGTATTATGGAAACATTCAATAAGATCTACACGTGACGAACGAAAAAGAAATTAATCCGACGTCACGAGTTTCGTTAACACTTCCGTGCTAGTTTTCCAAGTCGATTCGTTCCGCGGCTAACCTTGTATTTAATCCAGCGTCAAAAAAAAAAAAAAAAAAAAAAAAAAAAAGAAACAGAGAAAGAAATGAAGCAACACCGCGAAAGAATCAGAAAGGGAAGAGGTTCGTGTCTGACACACTTAGGGAACGACGACGCATTGTTGGCTGGCCAACGTTGCGGTCGAAACGCGAGGTCGCTAATGAATCGATAAACGATACGTTACCGGTTCGGCCGGTTCCCCGTTTCTTTGATCATCCTTCTAATGCTACTTTTGCGTACGGTAAATCCTACGATCGATCAGAGCGGCCGGCTATTTTTCGCTCGGTAATCACATCTCGCCGCGCGATCACCTACGGCTGAAACTAAACGAACGAGAGGAAATGATAATCACAGGGAGAGGGGAGTGGTCGTTCGTTTCATTTTATTTGCCGCGTCATTCTAATGGGCGGCGATAAATAGGCAAAGCAGCCTGTCTGTTCAATTCAAACACGTACCGCCGGATGTATCTCCAGCTGGACTCCTCGAGTTTGGATCGATTTCAAATTTCAATTTCATAACAGCCGACGGGAAAATGCGGCTCTCGAGTTCGAGGAGACACGCGTGCGTGCGTGCGTGTGTATATCCGGGATTAAAAAGGGGAAATAAAACCGTCCCGAGATAAAAATAAAATTAACGATCCGCGTATACACACGGACTTGAAACCTGTTCTACCGCGACCATTCATAAAACTCGACGACTGTGGTCCGTTTTCGCGGTAAGCCATTTACGAGTGGCTTAAGAGTCGATGGACTTTTGACGGTTGTATACGGGGCGGTGAGCGTCAATCGTCGGTCGTATAATGGAGCCAATTGTCGATGATCAGCCTCACGAGATTGTCGCGAGATTCGATAGTACGCTTTTAGCGAACGTCATTGCGTCGACGATATCGCTCCGAGCGAATTTGTGACTCGTTTTTCGGTCCGCCGTTTCTTTTTTCTCTTTTTTCTTTTTCTTTTTTTTTCATTTTGTTTTTCAAATTAAATGCATCGACTCTTCACCAAGGTTTCAATTGACAACAGCGATCGGTTTACACAACTTCGTTCTCTTAATAACTGAATAGTCGCGACGATACGACCGATTCGAGCGATTCACCTTCTTTCTTCGTTTCAGCGTTACTGTTTGCCTGTCTTTCGCTCTTTACTCTATTCATCGATACTTTTTTTCTACACTCCGGCGACCTTGAGCGTTCTCTCATCGACGTAGATTTTCGGAGAACTTAATCCCGACGAGGAGCCCCGCGCTCGAATATCGAAAATCGAAACTTCGAAAATCCGCTCTTTATTGCGTTTCGAATCTCGCGGGATTCAATTTTCACTCAAATGTTGGCAAAGTATCACCGAGTAAAAATGAATTTTTTCCGCGAGTTGGAGATACAAGCAGGAAAGGATAGGGTCCGCGTCGTAAGAGACGAGGCAAAAGGAAGAACCAGCTGGCTTACATGGGCGAACAGCTGAGCATGAACAGCACGACGCTGCTATGTATGCTGCGGAGGACGTTAATTAAAATTAAGTTTACTACTGTGTTGCACGCGTAAGTGGCACGTCACAGATTACGAATAATAGTCGAACGTCAGCGGCCGTTCGTTGGCTCGTGAGTCGACGTGTGTGGCTGGCTAGCGTGTCGACTGGATGCTAAGAATGCCGTATCGTTAAACATGTTCAATTAACGCAGTCGCAAGCGACAATGGTTCTCAATGCGATCGATTCGAATCTGCGTGGAGCCGATTCGTGCGTGTCGATCATCAATGTGGGTTATTAGCGAAACAGCCATCGATTCTAGAGTCGTAAGACAGAAACTTCGCCACGTTACGTCTTTATCGAGCCCCTTTTTTATATTCGTACCATTTGATTATTCGACGGCCTGGTTATTAATCTCGTTCGGATCACGATACAAGTGTTTTTGTGGCTCGTGGGAAACGGCACCGATCTTCGCCGATCAACGCTTGCACGAAAGTTACGGAGGACGGAACAGTGTTGAGACACGCGGGAGAACGGCGGTTATGAATGAGATTGTAAACACAATTCGAGGAAAATGTTTCCTTCTTTCTCTTCGCCTCATAAATTTTAACGCGATCGTTTCTGCGAACAGGAAATGTTAATTGACTAATTACAGCGAAGACACGAGACCGAGGCTGCTCCACTTGCGTACGTACATAACGCACGTACGTAACATCCTAGGATTTTCAGCGATACTCGGTCGCGAGAATCGGCCGCGATCTTGACCGACGTGATACTCGATACGTATCATCGAATCGAAAACGATGCCTGCTGACGAAGCAAAGCCAGCCAACTCGGTGCATAGCAAAACCAGCCAAACGACGGCGATCGTCGCCATCAACATCGTCGATGTTAACCGCTGTTACAGCCATTATCGCCGGTACTGTTATTACAGTGTAACTGCTATTCTCGTGCGTTTCGCCGCCGTGTTATGGCCGGCGACGAGGGTCCCCATCGTGCTTTCGACGACGACGAGGAAAACCGAGTGTTTCGTGTTCCATCGATTACTCGCCGTTTAAACGGGCCGGCCGAGAGAGATGCCAATCATCCCGGATTGTTCCGATTGTTCCCGGATACACCCGGCTTTCATCTCGGGTTTGAATTCCTGCTGTGCGTACACACAGCAAGACAGATACTATCTAGCCTAGGAAAGACCTAGGTGAGACCGCGAAAGATCAGAAATATACCGAACGTGTACAACGTATTACATTATACCGTGTCCAGTGTGGTTCACGAAGAGGCATCGTTCCTCTATCCCGCGCCGTCTAACTTACCTATTTATTATGCGCGCGTAGTTTTTCACCGGAGGAGGTGGGAAGCGTTGGAGGAAAGACGGGCGAGCTAGACATTCGTGGAATGTCTGAAAGTCTCGCGAAGTGCCTCGAACGATCGGTTACGGCGGTCGTTGATGGTGGCGGCGGCGCGGTAACGGTGTCCCCAACTCGCCATTTCTGGGATTCGCCGGATAGATCCCACGCTAATAATTTCCCCGTGGCATCCTTTCGTGAGATCTCGACTACGTCCTTTCCCAGGCGCGATTCTCTCTCTCTCTCTCTCTCTCTCTCTCTCTTTCTCTCTCTTTCTTTCTCTGTTCCATCAAGTCGGTTTGGTTCGCAGCCTACGTGCACGCGTGCCGCCGCGGCACACGGTGATTTGTCTCCGCTAGAGTAAATCCCAGCGCAAATCTCTTGATCGCGTTAGTTATGCCGCGAGATTCAGCCCACTCCCCCCTGTCGTTATACAGCTTGATCTCTCGCGTTGCTTTAAAACGTCGTAAAGCAACCGCTTTATAGGCTGGATATTGAAACGTAGTATGGATATCGATGGATATACGGGTAGCGTGTGATATTTCGCGATATCATCGAACTCCCCCCCTGCCTGGTGTCTGTTCATTTCCCATGTGCGCGTAAATCATTTGAACACGTTGCAACCGGTTGTTACGTTGGTTATTTTGCTGGTTTGCTGCTCGCTTGCCGGTGGAATTTAAATTTAACTAAAGCGAGCACCCAAATTGCAATTTTTACGGATGGCTTTTACTCGAGAGAGATTTCCAACTCTTCAGTTTTGAACGTGTTAGAATTAAACGTAAAATTTCCATCCAGAGACGTCAAAGTAAAAAAAGGTAGGAAACTTTACGACACGATGAAGTGCGCAAACTGTTATTTATACATTTTACGAAAGATCGTTTAAATCTCTAAAAATACACTGTTTCACATCTGTAAAATATCCAACGAAAATTATAAATTGGTCGTTTCGATCATTTCGATGATTCTGGTGTTTAATCACTAGTAGTCTTCAATTTGTTCATTGATGGTAAAAATCGTGCGAATCTAAAGTTTCTTCAGTAACATATTTCTTGATGTTAAATGAAAAATTAAAAACGTAAAAATACTTAGTTTCGCCATGTAGTTACTTACAATATTATTCGAATTCGTAAAGAATATTCACAGAAAATACTATTTTCCTTTCTTTTTTTTTGTTGAAAAGAGCTTTGATTCATGGTTGCAAATCATGGTTTGTGGGGCT